GAAGACACCGTTGCAGAGATGTTAGCAGTAAAGGCTTGTTTGCCTTCTCGACGCAGTTCCTCCAACGTAGAAATACGACGATCCATCTGAAGAATGACAACCACCAAAGCAGCGCACGTCGCAGCTAACACAACGCTCACAAGCAAGTGTGGGGACACTAGGTCAGACAAGCATTTCCCTTTAGGTTTCTTCTCAGATCGACCGTGATTCATCTCAAGACTTCCAAATTAAATCACCGTTTTCGCACGATAGGTAATTCTTCTGGTTGAGGGAACGAGGACTGTTCTGTAATTAATTTATCTACTACGATATCAAGAGCCTTGGGACACCGATAATTACTAGCAGAAAATTTTCGTGTTCGCAAAATTGCAAATTACCTTCCCTGTTTTACATTTTGTCCTTTGAAGGCTTCATAATAACGCTGTCAACGTCGACCTATTTTAATTCTTAACGCTTAGCCAAACTCGAGGTCGGGAAAGGAATAAAGTGTGCATTTTAGCAAATTTCAATTAACTAGCGTACGAGTTAGAATTAAAAACATCAAGACCCTCTGTCTTATAGGAAGTACTGTGTTATTGACGATTTCACCCCTTTCGTTTGCATACATTTAGACATCAAACAAATTTCATGACATTTGTTTGCCAATTTAATCTTTATAACATTGGGTCCTGAATAAATTTCGGTATCCACTCGACTGGAACAATTAATACAATAATCAAGCAGGGAAAGGAGAAACCTAGTGAAAAAATGCCGACACAAAGTGACTGCTGCACTACAAATAAGATCATCAGAAATGTAACTACATCAATTAAATACGATTTTTTTAAAAATGAAGGTCGCCTTCTTCGTTCTCTATATATAAATGACTACCAGGATAAAATTAAACGAACCAGGAATTATTCGCACGTTACTTCGCCGTATAAGTAGCCATCAAATCCTGCAAGCGCACTATGAAGGTATGTAAGCAGTTAGTAGTTGTAACTTGTTACAATGTACAACTGTAGTTACATTTGGCACAGCACTTTAACACTGCCAGCTGAAATAAGAGAGGTCTTCAAACGGAGTTTGTTCGTAGTTCTTGGATCTGGGGCGCGGGAGGGACTTTGCCGATCTGTCCATGTTTAAGCTTAAACGAGTGTATTCACTCAAACACAACTAGGTTCCTTGCTTTTAGAGGATATCCCATTTCAGTTTTCCATCTCTTCCCGATGCATTATCACCTTTAGGAAGTTATGGATCTGGGACAAGGTATCTCACTAGAGTTACAGCGTGTGCGTCTAGGGAAAGATAGAGAAGTCAGTCTCAGACACAAGTACAAAAACATTCCCTTGGTGGACCCCCTCGGACGGATCTTCACTGATCTACCAGCCTTCCTCTCTTAGCATCATTTTTCTCCTCGCCACTTTTGTTTTTCTCCCTTTGTCGTACCCAGCATACTGCGTCAAAATAGCCCTGATATAAAATATAAATAAAAATTGGATGAAGGCCCTAACATTCTGCCTCTGCCGACAGTAACTGTAACAGCGTGTGCGTTACAGGTACATTATACTTAATACTTCTGAAGATGACTATTAAAAAAGTCTGACGAAAGAATTGAGATTTGATCGTGTAATTACTTTTCTGATTCACCTCCATACTTAAGTTAGTCTGTCTGTCTGTCTATCGGTCAGGCAGTCACTCAGGCAGTCAGTCAGTCTGTCTGTCTGTCTGTCTGGAATTAAAGAAACTTGGCTCCGTGCTGAAATAAAGCGTGTGATTGTCTGTTTTTCTATCTGTCTGCGATGTCGACTACTGTGACGTTGTTTGGGTCAATTTAGATCAGGCTCTTGCCACTAAAATCCAGAAATTGCAAAATCGTGCTGCACGCATAACAATCTTACAGGTTACAATTTGCATTCAGCGGAATTAAGGAAACAAATTATCAAAACTGGACGTGATTACAGTGGGTCTGTTTTTAAGAGCAATCTCTATGATCACGATGCGCATTGTGCTGTGTGCTTTGTCATGTCACGTGGCTCAACGCTGATGATCCAGCACAGAATGACTGTCCATCTGGATGGACCGAGGAGTATTATGGGTACCTGATGACTGCATATTACTATCATGCGAACCAAAAGGATTACCTCTGTGTTGACAAAGACCAAGAGTTATTCATGACACTGAGTAATTCGGACCAGAATGGCGCCTTGCTGTACCACGTGGAAGGGAATTGTGGCTCTCTTCCATGTCTTCCCTATGTTCAGCATCGAGAGCTGACATGCCCCGTTTGCACCAGGTGAGAATAAGCTTTCCAGTAGGCTTGTGACATTCAAAAAACTCTAGAGACTGATATTAAGCATCAGACGTATCATGTGAGAAATTATTTTTGTTGAAGGCCGGACTCTGTGGTGTAACGTTTGTTTTAACTTTTTAATTGTTTTTTTGCAAAGAAACTAACAAAAGCACAAAAATTTTGAAACAAAGATAGCAACTTTTTTGCTGTTCTTCTTTTTGAAAAAAAAGAGACTTTTTTTGGTCCCTAAACGAGAACATTATTTACTGCAGTCGAACCTTTCCCTATAGACACCTTAGTAATACAGACACTGCCCCTTACGGATTTCCAAATTTAAAGAATCCCCACCACATCTGCAATACGAACTTACAGTCGTATTAGTCACAAAAAAAACAAAATTCATACAATCTCTTTCTCTATGATAAAGGCACCACTCTAATAAGGATAGTTCTCATGGTCTCAAAGATACCATTCTTCAAACAGTCCCTAAAGCTATTTCTAAAAACAGTTAATACCTTTGTTACGCAAGGTGGTCAGCTAGTTTGATCCGTCCCTTTGGTTTTCGTATTAAGGATCGAGTTTTGACTGCAGGTATTTTGTGGTACATGTAATTACAGAATGCATTGTTTGCGAAAAGATCTGTTATAACTTATGAGAATCCAGTTTTATGTACTTAAGCTGTTTAGGCCATGTAAGACCATGTTAAGGCAGTTAAAGACAGGGGAGGAGGAGGACCGGAAGGGGAAAAGTGCGAAAGGGAAAAGGGAAGGGAGCCTCACTCTTTCTCCCCAATTCGAGGGTCTCAACGGGGTGGTAGCTTCGACGGTTGACGGTTAAGTTTCAGAGCTTTTGACGGTTATAAAGTAGACTGCAAAACAGTCCGTATTTTTGCGTATTCAAGTGCGCGCGAGCAGTCAAACAAAAGGTCTGGAATGAGGATAAAAACAGAGAGCGAGACTGGGGAGAGACCCTAAAAATACGGACACATGCTAAACTGGCCAGATCCTAGATTCTTCAGGAGTCCAAAGCTACAGACCAGATCGGTTGACGGTAAAATATAACTTTTTTTGACGGTTGAAGGTTAACTTTTAGGCCGTTTGACTGCTGACGCTAATAATCCCATTGGGACCCTCCAATTCCCTTCCCTTTTCCCTTAAATTCCTTTCAATCCCCTACCCCTTTCGACGCCTCCTGCTACTACGCAGACTACCAGTACACATAATTGTCAAAGAATGAGTCTGTCAATTTAATGTGCTAGTCTCACTGTTAGTTCTGTTGCTGTCAACAACAGGTACCTAGATTTTAGATCAAAAATGAAATGTCGTTTTTAAGCGACTTCAAAGTAGCCTTGTTGGGTAATTGTGTTGTTACGTTTGTTTCCATCACCACTAACAACAAAACAGGATCAAAGTGTTATTGAGAAATTGCGTTACCGCAGTCGTGGTCCTTGTGTATCCCAATTTTTAGTAAATTTCTACAGTTTTAAAAAATCTGATGCTCATAGGCTCTTGAGGCATGTTGACCCTCGAGTAATCAATTCTTAGTAAAATCGCCACCAACTCATTTGCACTTCCTACTGATTTTTAACTTTCAAAGTCCAACTTCCCCAGCCAATACACTAAGCTATCACCTGCCGTATTTTCCGAAAATACGAGACTTTTTTGGCTAACTGTTCTGCGTCTGCTGCGTGTTCCATGAAGAGGCGCTACATACTACAGTTGCCAGTAAGACTAATGTACTGTCCTATACAGGAAACTACGTCCATTTTTACAATCCCAACTGAAGCGCAAAAATGGTAATAAAAATGAAGCAGATTGTCTCTATTCATGGTTTAGGAATGAGAACTGATCTATAACAAGAGAGAATGATTTATCTACTACATAGTCAAGTGCCTTGGGACACTGATAAACGGCAGCAGAAAATTTTCCTGTTCGCGAAATTGCAAAATCACCTTTCCAGTGTTGAATTTGTCCATTAAAGGCTTCATAACAACGTATCCAGCATAACTGCTATAAGTCATTTAGTCAGAGACTAGGTGAAGGAAATAACTCCTATGTCAATACGGTAGGAACCTCCCGTAAGCGACCACCCAAAATGCAAAGACTGAGAGGTCGCTTACAAGAATAGAGTCACAGGGAGTCTCTTCCGAGAAGGGTAGGCCTTTCCCGATTGTGCTCGGCAACTTTTGAGCAACTTTTGGCGTTTGGAGCAACGTTTTGCAGTTCTAGTAACCTCGAGCAAATTTTGAGCAAAATATAGGTTTAGAGCACATATCAAGCACGAAAAAGTCAAAGATTTCATAGAAAACTTCAATTTTTTTAATTTTTTTTAATTTTATATTTTAAATTTATTTTAAAATTCATTTTTATTTTTTTAAATTGTTTTACTTTTTTTTTTCTTGACCGATGTTAGTAATTATTGTGAAGAACGAAAATAAAGCTTTTGATTAACGTTAATATAAAAATATCAAAAATTTAGGTGACAACTTTTGAAATTTAGGTAGCAGCTTTTTGGATTTTTGGCAATTTTCTAGCAACTTTTTGGCATTCCACTGACCAACTTTCAGCATTTTACGTGCACGATAGGGAAAGGCCTAGAGAAGAAGTCCAGATACATCTACTTTAGGTAAGATAGTGACGTAGAATCCTCAAACTTGGGAGGTACATACTGCCCCTGACCCATACCCCTTTGGTCGGTATACGGATTTCAGTCTTACTTCTCTTTTGAACGCGTTATCGCTAGAAGAAATTCTTGAATAAAGAAGAAGGTTTGTGACAGGATAGCCGGCAACTTATACTTATATTTTTAAATATAAGTTTAAAAACACATGTACAAAACACATTCCTGAGACAACAGCTGAGTGGCCTCCGTCAGACCTATCTTCGCAATTTGAATCGCTTGAGAACAAGTACAGTAGCAAAGGCTCACCAGCCCTATTCTCCTCTTCTCTCTTCTCCTTTCCTCCATGGTGGTGTACTTTATGCAGACAACTCTTTTCTTTCTTATTCTGTTTTTACTATGTTGCAAGAAGCATGTCCAGTAAAGATACTTGTTTTGTAGTCACGTGTAAGAATAAAGCTATGTATAGGGTAATCTCTCTATTGTGCATATTATTTTCTATCAGTGACATGGCATGATCATTGCCCAGGGGCTGGGCGAGTACTACTCAAACAGTCCAGATCGAGAAAATAATAAATAACTGATCGAAATTTCGCAGCTTTTGCAAAGCCTAAATTTCATTCCTTTCTTTGAGATACATTTTGAAAAAGCACTTTGAAACCTTTCAGATCATGACAGCTTTCAGCCTGCGCAGAAGGAGCCAGAGTTTTTGGGCGGGAGGAGAAATATAAACGAAGCATGCGCGCACGAGGGAAGAAAAGGAGGGGTGGAGTCCTCTATAAAACCAACCAAAAAACACTAACTGACGCCTGCCAGGCAGGCTAGACAGCTTTTGTAGTAGTGATACAAACTGACTCAAGATCGATTTTCATTTTCTTCTCCAGTTTTATTTTTTAATTTAAGCCATGATTACAAGATGACTCTCCGAGGTTGACGAGAGAAGTTTTATTACTTGGTGCAAACAGCACATGTCAGCTCTCGATGCTGAACATACGGAAGACACGGAAGTGAGCCAAAGAGCCCTTCCACGAAGAATAGTAAGGCACCATTCTTGTTCGCATTAGTTCCCGGAACATACTCCGGGTCTTTGTCAACACAAACGAAGTCTTTTTGGTTCGGGTGGTCGTAATATGCGGTCATCAGGTACCCATGATACTCCTCGGTCCATCCAAATGGACAGTCATTTCGTGCGGGCATCATCAGCATTGAACCACGTGACTTGACAAAGCAGACAACGCAAGGCGCCTCGTGATCATGAAGATTTCGTCTGAAAAGATACCCACTGTAGAAACTGACGTCATAGTCAGTGCCAAACACATATCCTGACTCCTGATTGTCATCTTTATACCTGTCGTACTTTCGATTATGTGGAAGACAAAGGTAGTTTACTCCACCACCTTGGTGACTGAAATGTTCACCTCCCATTAAACCTGAGGACGAAAAACTACAAGCTTACAAAGGTACAACACTCTCCTATAAAGTGTACTCACCACAAATTTCACTTTCTTAGTAACTGACAGTACAATAGAGCAAACTATTGTTACGACAAACTGGATTTACTGCACTCGAACTGTAGCGCTTATAAATCTCTGCAATAAAAGGTAATTACTGAAACTCTTCTCATCTATTTGCAATGACTCAAAATAACTGTAAATAAATAAATAAATAAATAAATGTTCAAGGTGTCAAAAAATTGTCCGTTTGCTAAGTATTTGAAATGGAGGCTGTTTCTGCAAACTTAAAATAGTGAAGGCCCTTATACTACCCTTGTGAAAAAGATAATAAGTGGAAAAATTTTTGACCTTAACAATAACTTAACCCTCAGAAGTACAAGGTTTATCTTAGTTTTTTCCTAGAGGATAAAACATCAGCTCCCGATGTTTTCAGTAGCTGTTTGTTCATCCCTTGCACACATTTTGAGACAGGTTTAGTGATGGTCAGTTGCTATGGTTACGAGATATGAAGTCATTAGTAGCAGGTGCTCAAGTCATTTTTGGGTGAAAATACATGTTTTTTCAACTTCATTCAACAACAAAAGTAAATCTGGGGGCTAAAATCATGCAAAATGCTTATTTATGTGTTATTTTTCATGTAAAGCTAAAAAAATACCATTTATCGCAGTTTTAACCTGATTTCTAATTCTTGGTAAAAGCCAAGATGGCGACCATTGTTGATGACGTCACAGGCCTCCAGCAGCGCCACCACCCATAAAATATACCTCATCCTGTTAAGAAGATCAAAGGCTTTCCACTAAAGGTAAAATCGCTTCGAAATACCGCAACATATCAAAACCTCCAGGGAGAGGTTCCGTCCACCCCCCTCTCTTGTACCACGGTGGGGGTATGAATTTGCGTGTAGGTCGGAGGGTCAATTCTACTTTATTACACCAGTTTCTAAAACTTTTTAGTAGTAGCTAGAATACAGTCTCAGTTAACCGGTGTCTGTGTTGACGTACCTTTATAAACCACCTCAGCACCTCCTGGACAAGTGGTCCTTCCCCAGCGAACATATTTCACTCCAGACTTCCCAGCTCCTTCCTTTCCCTTTTCGCCTTTGGGTCCTTGAGGCCCTTTCAACCCAGGACTTCCAGCAGAACCTCTCTCTCCTTTGGGACCAGGAGGGCCTGGAAAAGGTCTGTTAACGCCCGGCTTACCAGCATCTCCTGTGAGTGGTCAGAAATACAAGGTTGAATGTTTTTTGGAAATTGTCTCCCGTAGCTGTTCTTCCAGGAAAAAACTAAACTAAAGATTTTTGATTTTTTCCTGTAAAGGAAACCTTTCTTCTCCGATCAGTTTCTTACTGTTAAAGAAGCAAAAGTAATCAGTGCAATACCTTTTACCCCAGGTTTACCAGGCGGACCGTTCTTACCAGGCGGTCCAGCTTTCCAGGGGACCCAACACCACGTACTGCAGGCTTTCCTGGTATTCCTGGTTTTCCAGGTAATCCTGGTGGACCTGTGGGACCATCCTTTCCATCGCGGCCGTCCTTCCCTGGAATAAAACGAAATTTAAAGCACAATTATCAATTCGGAGTTAAAGAAGTATTGGATCAAGTTCAGGGACAACTTACGAAAAGCTAAATTTTCTTCCATTTTTATGTGCTTGATACCACTCCCATAAACCCATGCAGACGATTGCTTTTATTTTATTTTATTTTTTTGTCGAAGTGTCCTATGCAAGTTTGTCTCAGTGGGCAGTGGCAAACATACAAACAAACCAGTCCGAATTCTAGTGAACTCAACTTCATTTTTTGAGTCAAATCCAAGAGATCATATCTTTTAGTCTATTACCATTTTACGCATCAGGGCCCAGACCAGATATTATCCTAACTTTGTGATCAATACATATGAATCACAATACCTCGAATGATGTAGGAAAAGCGCTTTTGGACCCTTAACTTGCTGGAAAAAAATTCCGACTTGTTTAATAGCGCTCCGAGCCTGAATAAAAAAAAAAACGGAGAAAGCATGATGAGGTAACTTGAACTGAGTTGTTGGGACGTTTTTCGGTTTTTCAGTTTTTTAACCAATTTAATTTTTTGGGATCGGGTGTTTAGTTTCTGCGTTTTCGGTTTTAGTTCCCTTAGCGTTCATCGTTTTTGCGGTTTTGTGTCAGCACTCAGTTTCTGTTTTGCTTCTTTATAAGACTAGGCACACTAAGGGAATTTTCTTGTCACCGTTAATGGCACATTCTGGGTTACCGTCACAGTGAACTTCTACGAAGTTTCAAATTAATTAACTTAGTTACAAAAAGTCTGTAAGTCCATGGCCATAAACAACAGCAGAAACAAGGTGTGTTGTCTTTTCGGTCATTGAGAACAGTGATTTTTCGGTTTTCATTGTCGGATTTATGTCATGCAAGTCTTCACGTTTTGTCCGATTTTCAGGCATCGACTGATTTTGCGTTACTGTCACTAAGCCTTTATGTCCCGAGAGCCAGCCAAGGCATATACAGTTATTTTCTTGTATACGTAAGTCATGTGTATTTTGTTACCGTTCTGGCATCGCGATATCATTACTTTTCTTGCGAACAAAGCCCCTTGCCAAAAAAGTTAAATTCATAACATGTGGGGGTCAAGAGGCAGCGGATATCAACTGCTGAGTGGGATATTTGAAATCAAATTTTTAAAGTGCAAATTACCTGGCAGTGCTTTTTAGCAGTGGCATAAAGATATTTCTGCCAGAATTTTATAGAAAATGACAATTCTAAGCAGCACAGTAGCACCAGAGAGCTTGATAGCAAGCTATGACGATTCTAGCGAAGCGCCACTGTTCATCAGTTAAATAATCAGTGTCCGCCAGGCGCTCGTTGAAGGCTATTTGTTAACAACATCTTGACAGAAAAATTTTGGGAACCAACGTGTTAGTTCTGTTTTCTTCCCCAGGTTTTATTTTATCCTCTTCTTCATTGATAAATTTTGGAGTCTACCATGCCAAAAAGACATACTGACCCTTTGCCACTTTGCCCTTTAAAAATCGTCATACTCGTCTGACAATTAATGCTGAGATTAGGAGAGCGTTTTTAACCTTTGATTATAGTTTGATTTCATTAGTAACTCACCTTTCTTCCACAGCCTTCAATCGCTTTTCAATGTCTGATCTCTGACTGGGAGTTGTGTTTGAAATTGCCCTCTTTCCTCTAGAGCTCAATCCAGAAGACACCGTAGCAGAATTGTTAACAATAGAGCCGGCTTGCTTGCCTTCTTGACGCAGTTCCTCCAAGGCAGAAATAAGCCGAACCATCCTAAGATTCAAGATCACCAAAGCTGCGCAGGTCGCAGCCAACACAACAGACAAGAAAATGACCAAGCGTGAACACGCCAACAGGTCAGAGAAGCATTTCCCGTTGGGCTTCTTTTTAGATTTGCCGTGATCCATCTTGTGACGAATCAAATCACTGTTTTCGGTATAAGTTACTCTTCTGATTACGGAATGTGAAGTGATCTATAACTGATTTACCTACGAGTAGTACATTATCAAGGGCCTTTGGACGCTAATTATCACTAGCAGAAAATTTTTGTGTTCGCAAAATTGTAAATCAACTTCCCTGTTTTGCATTTTGTCTCGGTTGAGGGCTTCATAAAACCCCTGTAACTCACACCAATTGTCCTCACTATTTAATTCTAAGCGCTAATCCAAAGTCAAGGAAAATAACTAATAACATGTACACTGCAGGAAATTTAATTTAACAAACATTTTCCTGTGGCAATTTGGGAGAATTAAACCAGACTGCTGTTTATAAAATTGCGTTCTTTGTCGGTTCTGCCGTATCCACTCGACTGGAACAAAGAAAACAGTCTGCAGGGAATTAAAGTGAAAAGGTAATGACGATTCAGAAAATGTAAAACTGAAACTTTAACAGGGAGTTTTAATCGAAGATCGACAAGTATATGTTGTACGCTGTAGTTTATGCAAGTGATACGATGGATGTGAAAAGACCAACACGCACGAATAAGGGTAACACTGCCCTATTAAACAAATGCACTTTTAATATATTAAAAACAATTATTACAATAAATTGAACATACATCTATATTCACTCCTCAGATCTCTATAAATGACTGCCAGGACAATAAAAGGAACCATGCAGGAACCATTCACATGTTACTTCCGTGTAAGTAGGCCATCAAATCCGGAAAGTGCCAACAACGAAAGCCCAGGCTCTGTGGGAGCTCGTAGGAAATTGAATTTTATATAAGAATGTATGACAACAAATAAAACATGTTCTAAATTCCGCTTTTTTAAAAGATTCAAGATAAAAATGAGTTACCTTTTGTTTGCATTGTGTTTTTTACAGCCAGTTGGCTTCTAGTTGAATTTTGAAACCGTTTTGGAGAAAGTAAGATTTCGAGTTGCACTGTAACATCATTATTATCATGAAAGCCTTTAAACTGGAGTGCTGATGAATGAGCTTGCAAAAAAGGCTGAAATAAGTATTTTGCTGCTATGGGATACATGGAATTTAGAGACTATTCCATGCCGAAGCATAGATGGGTTGTCATCTGGGTTCGGGAACCAAACATTCACCAAACATTCATTAGCTAGTGGGCGACTCTTGGTAATCTTCGGTAAAAGTCACTTTTTTAATGCAAAATCAGCTGCGTCAGTCGGACTACGATAAATGGGGGAAAGAATGGATTGGCGCACCCTTCGAAGTATCAATTTTTTTGCGAATTATATCAGCTTTACATCAACTCTGACATCAACACATATTGACTACGATACTTTATTATTTTGTTTCTCTCCTTTGGTTTACTTTTATTCTACAGATACAAGACACTGGGGGACAGAGAGGGCAGAGAAAGGGGACAGAGAGGGCATCCCCTATATACACCCTATTCCATAGGTAATTCGTCTCGAATTATTTTTAGAATCGGGATAAAGTTACCTCGCGCGAGGCGTGGATGTTTCGTGGAGGCTTCGCATGACCAAAAGCCGTGCAAAACATGTCGGGCGAGAGGCAATGAAAGCGTAAAAAGATCGAGAGCATTCCTGAATATTGAAGCGAAATGAGTCGGCGCTCACCTGGGAAAAAGGAATCGCTGGACTCTTTGACAACCCGTGAAATCAGTTTAACTCGAAGTTGTCGTAACCTCAGTGCTTTAATAAAATGAGAAATTTCGCCGGTCTATTGAAACCGGTCGTTTGTACAATTTAGGGAGTTTAAGATCCAACGACGCGGACGACAACTAGAACGTCAAAAAAACAATAGGTTTAATTAGCAAAACAACAACTTCGCACGTGCAACACACTTTTTTGTTCATTTCTTTCCCGTTTTTGCACGACTACGACGTGAAAATGCCTAATTTCGCGTTTTATGGAGGACGTAAATAAGCAACGACGAAATTTTATTTCTCTTTCTGAGCTTGAATATGGTCCCTTGAAATTCAGCTTTAGGAGGGTTCGCCTACAATTGACAAAGTAAGTGGGTAGGAATAATCGCTATAAAGACTGAAAAAAATAAACATCAAACCAGAAATTGCTCTCTTCAAACTGTAAATTATAAATGATCCTGAGAGAATATTCAGTGTGTTAAGGATTTCCCTGCTCTACTGTTAGCTCTATACAAGAGAGGAAGGGCGATTCTTTTTTAATTTCGGTTTCGCTGACACAGCTTTCGCAGAAATCTCGCTGTAGTCGTTTTCGTCGACAAAAGGAATAGCAAAATCGCTCTCCGCGTCTTTCCCCATTTTGTTCTGCGTCATTTCGTGAAGGACGCGTGGCTCTCAGCGTGGGTCATCCACGCGGAACACATTCGCGCTATGTGATTGGCTGTTGTCTAATCCCCCTTGAGATCTGTGGTGTTAAAAATAACTCGAGACGAATTACCTATGGAATAGGGTGTATATGGGGGACGCCCTCTCTATCCCCTTTATAGTCTCTTGACAGATATTATTACAGCTTAAATCTATTTTGTGCACACAGCGCATGTCAGTTCTCGATGCTGAACATAAGGAAGACACGGTAGTGAGCCGCAAACACCTTCTACAGGGTACAACAAAGCTTCCCTTCGGCCGGCGTGGCTACCAGGAACATACTCTGGGTCTTTGTCCACACAGACGAAATCTTTTTGGTTCGGGTGGTTGTGAAATTCAGTCATCAGGTACCCGTGATACTCCTCGGTCCATCCAGATGGACAGTCATTCCTTGCGGGCATCATCAACAATGAACCACGTAATTTGACAAAGCAGACAACACAAGGTGCGTCGTGTCTATAGAGATTTCTTTTGAAAGGGTTTCCATTGTACTGAGGGACCTCATACTCGGTTCCGTACATGTATGCTGAGTACTGATCGCCATCGCTGTACCTGTCATACTTGGGATTGTGTGGAAGGCAAAGGTAGTTAGCTCCACCACCTTGATGATTGTGACGTTCTCCACCAATTCTACCTACAAAGTATTAAGCACAATGGCAGAATTAATTTGAAGCATAACTGTGGAGAAAAAAAATTGTTTATTTATTTATTTATTTATCTTTTTATTTTTCATGAATCAGATCGTAAAGAAAAATGTTTTAATATGTAAAAGACTGAGTCGACATACCTTTGTAAACCACCTCAGCACCTCCTGGACAAGTGGTCCTTCCCCAACGAACATATTTCACTCCAGACTTCCCAGCTCCTTCCTTTCCCTTTTCGCCTTTTGGTCCTTGAGGCCCTTTCAACCCAGGACTTCCAGCAGAACCTCTCTCTCCTTTGGGACCTGGAGGGCCTGGAAAAGGTCTGTTAACGCCCGGCTTACCAGCATCTCCTGTGAGTAGTAAGAAATACAAGGTTGAAAGATTTTTGGGAAATGTCTCCTTCAATTGTTCTTGCCTAGATAAACCCTGTGAAGATAACATTTACTGCTCATTTTCTCTCTGTTAAAGAAATATAAAGTTAATCAAAGATGAGTACCTTTTGCACCAGATTTGCCAGGTGGACCTTCCTTACCAGGCGGCCCAGCTTTCCCAGGGGACCCAACACCAGGTAATCCAGGGTTGCCTGGTATCCCTGGTTTTCCAGGCAATCCTGGTGGACCTGCTGGGCCATCCTTTCCATCGCGGCCGTCCCGTCCTGTAATGAAACGAAATTTAAAGTTAAGTTATTCACATGCCTTGAAAAAACGCAACACAGTATTGGATCAAGTCTCAAGGAAAGCTAAATTTTCTTCCATTTTCTTTGTAGTTGATATGACAAATCCCATATTCCCAGGCTTACTTTTTTTCTGATCTTACTGTCCCTATAGTTTGTCCCAGTGGGCAGAGGCAAACAAACAAACAAACCAATCCTAGTCCTAGTGAACTCAACTTCATTTTTCCAGTCAAAAAAATAAGCAAATCCAGGAAATCATATCTTTTGGCAAATCCCAGTTACCATTTTACGAACATCAGGGCCCTCAAAAGACCAGAAAGAATCCCAACTTTTTTAACGCTACATGTGAATCACAATACCTCGAATTATGTAGGAAAAGCGCTTTCGGACCCTCAATTTGCTGGAAAAAAATTCCGACCTGTTAAATAGCTCTCCGACCCTGAAAGAAAAAAAGTTAATTGAGAGTTGGATTTTTCAGTTTTGCAGTCCTAAGCTCTTGATCTTTGCGGTTTTTCAGTTTTAATTAATTTCCTTAGCGGTTAATGTTAATTTTCGCGGTTTTGTTACAGTTCTGTTTTGCGTCTCAATAAAAGGCATTTAAATTTTTTTTTGGTCATAGTTGGTACAGTCTAGAAGGATACAACATTTTCGAAGTTTCAAATTAGTTACAACAAAAAGTCTGTAAATCTATGGCCACAAACAAGGTGTGTTGCCCTTTTCGATCATTGAGAACCGCGATTTTTCGGTTTTCATTTTCAGAATCATGTCATGCACGTCTTCACGTTTTTCGCTGATTTTCAGGCTTCGACTGATTTTGCGTTAATATCAGTAAGACCTTACGTTCCGAGATCCAGTCATACCTGAGGCATACACGGTGTTTTTCTTGTATATATTGTTATTATTAACTTGCCGTTCTCATATCGATGTCGTTACTTCTCCTGCACCGCCGCAAGGGGTGCGGGTGGGGGGTGTTACTCCCTTATATAAGCCATATATGTTTGTGCCGCCCCAAAGAGTGCGCCGTTTCGGTCGGTCTGTATACCATTTTGGTCTCGAATCGGGTATGGTTTTCGTGGGAATAACGGGAGTGTATGAAGGTATTGTCGTTTCAATTCCAAATGAATAAGAAAGGAAAAGAAATATGCGAATTCGAAACGGACTTAAAGAAATCTTTTTGTTAGGGTTCTAATCTAAGTAATGATGACATTATTTGTGCCTAAAGGCTAGGTCTGGAAATAGGTATGGATTTTAGACGCAAGGTGTGAAGACGGGTGCGGAAAATAACATTTTTTCTTTGGTCTGAAATAGGGTCAGGACTTGGAGAAACGGGCGGCACACCCCTACCAGGATTTCCCAGGAATACTCCCACCGGGCTCTTGCGAACAAAGCTCTATGCCAAAAAAGTTAACTTGATAACATTGAAGGTGAAGAGGCAGCGGATGTTTGAAATCAAATTTTATAAATCCAATTTACGTGCTTTTTATCAGTGGCATAGTGATATTTCTGGCATAATTTTATATAAAATGAGAATTTTAAGTTTCTCAGTTGCAATTCTTTGTTTAACAAAACAGAGCTTGCTAGCAGGTCATTATATTGTGACGACTCTAGCGAAGCGCCACTGTTTATTAGTAATTGAGGGCCAGGCGGTCGTCCAACCCAATTTGTTAACGACATCTTGACAGAAAACTTCGAGGAACCAACGTTTTAGTTTTCTTTTCTTTTCCTAGCCTTAATTATTTTACCTTTCTCTTCATAAGTTCACTTAACTCTTTACCGCGTAAATTTAGAGTCTGTTAAGGCAAAAAAAGGCACACTGACCCTCTCCCCTTAATGGTCATACTATTAAAATCATCCTGATTTCCAAGCTATTCTCTACGAAAACTGACTCATCGATATCTAATGCTAAGATTAGGGAGCGTTTAACTTCAGATTATCATTAACTCACCTTTCTTCCACAGCCTTCAATCGCTTTTCAACATCTGATTTCTGACCGGGAGTTGTGTTTGAAATTGCCCTCTTTCCTCTAGTGCCCAATCTAGAAGACACCGTAGCAGAATCGTTAACAGTAGAGGCTTTCTTGCCTTCTCGACGCAGCTCCTCTAAAGTGTCGTTGAACGCAGAAATACGTCGATTCATTCGAACATTCAAGACCACCAAAGTAACGCACGTGGCAGCCAACACAACACCCACAAAAATGACCAAGTGTGGAGACAACAGGTCAGACAAGCACTTCCTTTTATGAAGGCTCTTCTCAGATTTGCCGTGATCCATCTCAAGACAACAAAGATCGAATTGCCGTTTCGCGCGATAGGCAATTCTTCTGGTTGAGGAAAGAAGAACTATTCAATAATCGATTTAACTCCTGCGATATCAAGAGCCTTTGGTCACTGATAATCAATAGCAGAAAAATTTCGTGTTCGCCAAATTGCAAATTACCTTCCCTGTTTTGCATTTTGTCTTTGAAGGCTTCATAATAACGCTCATATCTCTGACGGCATGTCAACATCGTCGACCCATTTTCATTCTAAATCCTTAGCCACACTTAAGGAAAACAATAAAGTTCACATTTTTAGCAAATTTCCATTTACTAGCATACGAGTAAGAATTAAGCTCATCAAGATCCTCTTACTGGAAGTACTGTATTACTGAGTATCTCACACTTTCGTTTGCATGCATGTAGACATCAAACAAATTTTACGACATTTGTTCGAGATTCTGTATCCACTCGACTCAGGGGCGGATCCAGGATTTTTTTTAGGAGGGGGTGCACTCGTCTCTTGCTCTACTTCAACACCAATAAACCACCTAGTTTTTTTTTTTTTTTTTGCAGAATACCAGTTGTATTAGAAAACCGCAGGTCATCTAAGGGGGGGCGGGTGCACCCCCTGCACCCTCCCCCTAGATCCGCCCCTGCGCCTGGAACAAAAAACACAATAATCAAGAAGGGAAAGGAACAAACCCAGCGAAAAATACGCACATCCCCCTTTTTTTTTTTTTTTTTTTTGCAGAATACCAGTTGTATTAGAAAACCGCAGGTCATCTCAGGGGGGGAGGGTGCACCCCCTGCACCCTCCCCCTAGATCCGCCCCTGCGACTGGAACAAATAACACAATAATCCAGTAGGGAAAGGAGAAAACCTAGTGAAAAATACGGACACAGAGTGACTGCTGCACTACAAATAACATCATCAGCAATGTAAACTGCTACATTTAATACGATTTTTATAATTGAACATTGCCTTCTTAGTTCTCTTGAAATAACTGCCAGGACAATATTAAACCTACCAGAAATTATTCCCACGTTACTTCAACGAAAGTAACCATCAAATCCTGCAAGTGCACTATGTAAAAATGGTTCATAGCAGTTACGTTCGAAGATGTTCTATTGTCATTTTTAGGTGGAAGCAGTCAGTAGATTTAACTTGTTACAGTGTAGTTACATTTGACGCAGCACTTTTTTAAGTGTCAGTGCCAAAACACTGCCAGCTGAAGTGAGAGAGATCTTCAACCGGAGTTTCTTTTCTATGTGCTATCGCTTTCGAAGGACTCGATTCTGTCCGTATTCTTGTTCGTAGCTCTTGGATCTGGGGCGTGGGGGTTACTTTGCTGATCTGTCCATGTTCCAGCTCAAAAGAGTGTGTTTACGCGAACACAAATATGTTGCGCTAGATTCCTTGCTTTTAGGGATCCGATTTCAGTTGTCAGTCTCTTGCAGATACCTTTTTGGAAGTCATGAATCTGAGACAAAGTATCTTGAATTATAACGTGTACGTCTAGGGAAAGATTGAGAAGTCAATCTCAGACACATGTACAAAAATATTCCCTGGGTGGTCCCCCTCAGTCGTATCTTCATCCTCTGAGTCGCTTGAGTCCGAGTAACACTGATCCACCAGCCTTCCCATGTTAGGTTCATTTTTCTCCTCGCCACTTTTATTTGTCTCGCTTCGTCGTACCCAGCATCCTGCGTCAAAATAGCCCTGAGATAAAATATAAATAAAAAGCGGATGAAGGCCCTAACATTCTGTACAGAAATTGAAACAGCGTTTTCGTTACAGGTAGATCTACATTTGAAGATGACTTTTAACAAAGTCTGAGAAAACAATTGAGATTTGATTGTGCAATTACTGCTCTGATCGTGCTGTAAGCATAATAACCTTCCAAGGTTACGTTGTGTGTTCAGCAGAAATACGAAATCAGTCAACCTGGGAGGAGCTTGCCCCAAGATGGCAAAGGCATTTAAGCCTATTAAAGTATGATAAAGTAAATCGAAATTTACCTAGTTGCTTGTTATTAGTCTTACTTATTATTAGTCGAAGCTAAAAAACACATATTATAATGTTGCACTGGATCATATTCCAAAGACAGAATATTATAAAGGATCTTTCTCATGCTGTGGAATTCATACTACCGTAAATCCTGTATTATTTCAAACACATTTGAAGAGTGCTTAATAGAGACGGGGGGCTTATTCATTTAACCCAGACGATGGTATTAGTTCTCCGTAGAGAACTAGAATACAAAGTGGAAAAGCTCAAGTACAAGAAGTTAGAGGTCATGTGGCTGAGAATCAAAAACGAATCCGAACTTCAAGTTGGTAAATGAACCATCCCGGATCAGTCCACACGAAGTTTTAAAGTCGTGATTGATTAATACAGTCTATCACTTGTTAGTGAAAAATAACAAGGGGGAGGGGAGGGGGCTTATTTACTTTCCTCCCCTGAAAAAGGTGGGGGGGGGGCTTATTTGGGGGGGGGGGCCTAATGGAGGGTTTACGGGAACTTACCCAAGGGGGTCCGAAAATAAAGGTTACAGATGAGAGATATAAGAGAGTATACCATCCCTCCAGAATAAGTTAACAGAATATTTGAAAGTTGATTTGTATTATGAAGGTTTAGCACTTTATGGGAAAAAAAAATAGGGGGGGGGGGGGGGGTTTTATTTTTTGTCCGGCGGAGAAAGGGGGGGGGGGGGGGGCTTATTTGAGGGGGGGAGCTTAATAGAGGATTTACGGTAACTGACCAAAGGGGATCCGAATATAAAGCTTTTTTTAAAAGAAAAAATCACCTGTACATATTGTTTTTAGAGTAATTCTAAAGTATTTACTTCGAGGATGATGTGAACGGCGGAAATACAAATTTAAATGAAGACATGATCGTCATAGTGGTAATTGTAATTTAAGCAATTCCAAATTAACCCCACAAAAATTCGGGGCTTCAACGGGATTCGAACCCAAGGCCTATGCGTTAGCGCTGCAGTGCTCTACCAACTGAGCTATGAAGGCCCATCTATTGGGAGCAGGCCAATTTGTGGAGTTCATCATAACCCGTGAAAGGAATGAAACAGAATGAAGAGCTCTTAATGTATGGGTCCTCATAGCTCAGTTAGTAGAGCATTGCAACACAGAGGCCATGCAGGGTGCAAAGAAGATCATTTTTACAGTTTGCCATTCGGGCAAGCTGAAGCTAGCATTTACTAGCCCAGACATCATTTCAACTAGCCCCAATCAACTGATTTCACAGTTCTTCTGTAATTCGAATTCTTCAAAAAACATCACTTGCCCGTCAGGCAAGTTAAAAACAGAATCCACTAGCCCCGGGCTATTGGACACTACTTTCTTTGTACGCTGCCATGGGTTCGACTGCTGTTGAAATCCCGAAATTTGTTTTTCAGGTTAACTTGCAATTGCCTAAATTTCAATTGCCACTGAGATGATCATATCTTCATCTAAATTAGTATTTACATCTGTTTCAATACGGCTTTCAGGTAAACAAGTTTTGTAACTAAATGAAATTACCATATTCAAATAAAAGTGAATCAATCAATCTGTCAGTTTTTCTGTCTGTCTGTGTGCCATCAACACAACATTATGGCGGGCGTTGGATAACAGGCGAAAAATTAAAGTGTACTCACAGCTTTTGACCACTGCAACATCAAGCTGGTCTCATACGGTCCATACACCTGTAAAATGACGTCGAGAACATAAATGGCGTGTAATCTTTACGTTATATTCTATTTTACAACGCTACAACGTTTACACAACCCTCTTGTCCTCCATTATATTTTTTAATTACTGATATGATCCTATCGTTGGATTAAATATTAATTACGAGTAAAATTTTTCATAAAATAACTCTGCATTATCATCTTCAGCCCCGTTATACTCCACATGATCAGATCAATTCTGATCTGCAGAACGGGAGGCCAGGGTTTATTGAGGGTCTTAAAATAACTGAGAAATGAAAGTTCCTCCTTTGCCCTGGCTGTACACGGCTAGATCTTCACGTGGCTCGGAAGACCACTTACAAATGGTCATATATGATCATGTCGTTAAAAATAAGTAAAATGATTAAAATGTTTCATAAATTACCTCCGCATTATCATCTTCAGCCCATTTATATTCCCAGTAAAGAGTTGGATTGTTGTCATCAACACCTTTTCTTTTCTTTTCTTCCTGTACATGTTGAGGCTATAAACACAACATCAAGTATCATTCTGAAGTTTTCAAAGCAGGTTATGCCTAACTGATCTGAAAGAAAGGCTCGTGACTACAGACTGCATGAGTTAACTTCATCTGCAGGCCAATGCCAGCATCAGGGCTGTCACAAAGATTTCATGTTGCCGGGTATATGCAGTTAGTAGGTGGGGAACTGAACAGCCAGGGAGATATTTAATTCTTATCCCTGTTTCCTAAGCAAATAGCCGAGGGTCGTGCTCATAGTAGCCGACGGAAACCCCTGGCCCCCGGCCCCTTAGTGACAGCCCTGCAGCATGTAACAGCATTTTATGAATACCTAGAGATGAAATATTAATAATCAATAAAATACATCTATGCAATAATAACCCACAGGGTTTCATCTTAGCACAATTTTCCTGTTATTTATAATAAAAAAAATTTAAAAGATTTTTTGGTCAGGGAGGGATCCAAAGGGAGTTTGTTCCTGTTACAACTTAATTGTGACAGTTAAATACAGTTTTATTAGTTCATCAACGCTACAAGCAAATTAACAAATCAGAGAAAACCTGTAAATATTATAAAAGGCTAGTACTGATCTACATTTACAATGCAGATATACAGAAAATTTGAGAACAAAACCTATAGGTATCAAGGCTCATAAAAGTCCGGTCAAGTAATCTGGGACAACTATGGGGTACTTACATGTACCATTTACATGGGAAAACCAGAAATTCCTGTTGGAAATCAAATGGTTCACACCATTTCGTTTGGGACGCTTCAGAAAATAAGGGCTGTGATTTCAGGCAATGCAATTTTTCCACTCTTTTTAGTCTGTTCAACTTTTAATATTTTGATCTACTTTGTAGCGGGTCATTCTCCCATCACGTCCGATTTTATAGTTTGATGTTTATACACAAGATTTCCACCTGGATGGCTTGTGTAAATGGTAAGCACCCTAGATTTTTCGGCTGGGCAAGTACTGTAACTTTCATACTCACTTGCCGAGTGGGCAAGAGCCAGTACGTCATCTTCTATTTACTAAATCCTTTACTGAGAGATGCATTCTGTGAGTGACCTCGAGCAAGCAAAATGTGACAACTGCTCATCCAAAGGTCAACATGGGATTTGCCCTCAATTTGTTCAAGCCCAAAGAGTAAAGTGTTGTACATAATAGTCCAGTTTCGAATTAAAAATTACCGCTGAATACAAACATAAACGACACTTTTATACAGGGTTAACCTTGACATAAAGTAAAACATTCAGAAATTCTGCCACGTAAGTGTTTGAAATTTGAATATACACAATAGACAGAGAAATAAAAAGGTCTTTTTCTCGTTGGAATTTGTGAATATATTACTTCAGATGGAGGCTAAGCCTGTAAACAATGTGTCTTCACTTCTTTAATTCAGCGGTCATAGCGGACTCGAAAATGGACTATTTCAGGAAACAAACAACGCAACGCAAAAAAGGGAAATTTCATCTCAAGTCTGACTAGTTAAATTTACCTGTCGCCGCTCTGCTGTTCTTACAGTAACATTTCTGTCATCAATTTTCTGCCAAACAAAAGCGCAAATGATGAACAAACTACTATTGCAAACTAGAAGCATGCTATGATATTGTGAACTCACTCACCAGTTGGTTATAAGCACACCAGGATTTACACTTTGCTGCTGCAAGAACAAAGCAAAATGTATCAAAGATATTACTTACAATTTGCTGCTTTATGGAGGGGCTGAAAAGTCACACATGAACAGCACTCGCTCTGCCTATGAAACTCAACTTGGTCCAAAGAGCTTAAGAGAGTTAATTTGATTTCTATGAGTGGCCGGTCATAACATGTGTTAAGATAATAAATTGAACTTAATCGCAGCACAAGTATGCTAATTTTCATGAATGTAGTCCATGTTAGCATGGTTACATTAGACTACAAGTACTCCCCATTTTTCCTCTGGGATAGTAATTGAGCGAGCGAAATGCAAGCGCGAGTGAAAATCACCCCACGCAAGAAAGGCAAGACGCAATGGGGAGAGAGAAAAATTAGGTCTCTCTCTTGATCTCCCCACCCTGTCTCGCTTTTCTCATGTGGGGTGATTTTTATGCACACACGCATTTTGCTTGCTCTACTATCCATGGCCTGAGGGAAAATGGGGACTACTCACAGTTTAGGTTGATGTAGGTGGAGTGTATTGATCAGTCCCTGGTTTTTCATGTTTTGGATAGTACTATCTACTGGATTAATGATCACCAGCCAGCACATAAGTGTTGGGGAAACCAAGTGTTATCCACTAAACAAAGATTTACTCAGTGGATAGCACTTTGCACCTTTTGAACAGCTGCAGGAACCAGATTTTATATCAAAATTGGTTTTCCTTTCTTGAAAAGACTATTGTTCTTACAAAATCTCCATGTTAACCTACACTGTTTATAGAGGGGTGCACTGTAAAGACAGTTGAAAACACTAAAAGTACAAGCAACATTTATGATTGTTAAGTAAAAGCCACAATCATATTTGACTATATTGACTAGTAATAATCATTGATTATGGATCCGTATTCGTCTTATTCTACAATCATGACATCAAACAAGTCCAAAGGAGTCCAATTTCCTGCAGCAGAGAAGCACCTGATAAACTTAATAGGGGCGACAAATCAGTAGTCACCTGTGATAGCTCAAAAATTTCTGCCTTTGTACCACAGGGATACCAGATTAGGATGTGTTCTGATGAATGGTAGTATAAAATTATCCATGTATAGTTTGAATTGCAGTTTAGTGCCATTTACCTGATTCAGCTTCAGAGAATGTAATGAAGGCAAATCCTCGTGAGGTACCAGTTTCATGATCCTTGACTACCTAAATTGTTACAAAGTTAATCAAAACAAAATTGTACTATAATTTGGTCAACGAGTTAAAATGAATATCTAGTACAGACCAGATAAAATTTAACCAAAATATATAACATTATACTATTAGGAAATGAATGTGTATTATTTCCACTAAAAATAATAATAGTCATTCTTCACTTTCAATGGTGACAATAATAGTAACAATAATAACAATACATGCAACATTTTTCTGTCTAGTCAAGAAAAGATTTAAGTGTACTGTATGTTCAAATGGTAATCATTTATATTTTTTTTTGTGGTGTTTACATGCAGATGTATGTGTAAATGTTGTAGTTAATTTTTTATCTCAGGTAATTTTTATTTTTCTTTTGTTTTTGGGTATGGTAATGTATGCTAAAGAAGTTGAAACAAAAATAAAAATAAAAATTACCTGAGATAAAAAAATAACTGCACCATAAACATTATTTATGAACCTTTCATTGCAAATGTACGGTGGCCCACAACGGCAATACACAAATATATATATATCATATTACTGCATTCTATATCTTAGTACACAAACATATCTATTGGCTGTGTGAGTATATTTACCAGTACAATAAAATATACACCAGTACAACAATATGTGTCCCAGTACAGAAATGTTAATTTCAGTACAAAAATATAAACTCCAGTACGGAAAGATATCTCCAGTTCTTAGTACACCACATAACAGCTCCAGTGAAAAAAAAATATCAATCTCTTAGTAAAAAAACATAAGTTCCAGAACAAACATATTCTTCGGTTGTGCGACTATATTCTTCATTCATTTATACAGCAGTACAACAATATTTTTCCCAGTACAAAAATAAAAATTTCGGTGCAGAAAAATTACAAAAGAAAAATTGGAGAAATCGGTAGGTACTTGATATATGATTATTACCATGTACCTAAACATATGCTTATTATAGTGTACCTAAACAAACCTTATATATTTCATTGTTATAGATTGTCTCGACTAAACACAACCATTCACCTCTATACAACCCCATGCATCACCATCCAACACCGTGCACCGCTACACCTCACCAAATACCACTAAACATACACCCATTTATAACGACATACACCTCTATACTTCACCATATACCTCTATACATCACCACACACCCCTATACATCATCATACATCCATGTATAACACCATGCACCTCTATACCTCACCAAACACCCATTTATAATACCATGCACCTCTATACATCGTCATATACCTCTATACATCACCTTACACCCCCATACATAACCATAGACCTATACACATGACCATTGTATACAAGTGTATGGTTATGAATAGGGGTGTAAGATGTTGTATAGAGGTATATGGTGATGTATAGGGGTTCATGGTTTTATACATGGGTGTATGGTGATATATAGAGGTGTATGGTGATGAAAAGAGGTATATGGTGATGTATAGAGGTGCATGGTATAATACATGGGTGCTGACATAGGTGTATGGTGATGTTTTGGGGTGTATGGTGTTATACATGGATGTGTGGTGATGTATAGGGGTGTATGGCGATGTATAGAGGTATATCGCGAGGTATAGAGGTGCATGGTGTTGTACATGGACATATGGTGGTGTATAGGGGTGTATGGTGATGAAAAGAGGTATATGGTGATGTATAGAGGTGAATGGTATTATTGCTGCGGAGCGACCGAAGGGAGCGAGCAGCAACATAATCAGGAATTAAAGGAAATATATAAGGGGCGACGAATTCTCGAATTCATCACTTTTTACCACAATGCATTGCATTTAACCACACTTCACTTTTTACCACAATGCATTGCATTTAACCAGAGTGCATTGCGCCACGAACAACTCAAATAAAAACACGGGGAAGTTCGGTGGGTGAGAGAGTGCATCGTTCGCCGGCTCAGACTTAGAGTTTTCTTTGTGGCAAATTTTCTACAGCACGGTTAGAGGTCTCACCAAATTTTAAGGCACGCAGGAGTCTTTCAGATGAGTATGATGGTTAACTTGGGGATTGGATTTCAATTCAAGACCCTTTGACTCGTCCAGGTGTTAAACCTGACGAGAAGATGAGCATTTGCTCTTCGACTCCGCAACACGGGGGGATATACAAATTCCAGTTTGCTAGAAGGTGATAAGAAAGTGAGAAAATGTCATGCAGTGCTATTCCTAAGAAACTGTTTGAGCCGAAAGTGGATGAGATTTTGACCATTCGCTTCAAAATAACAGCGGAAATCGAGATAACAAAACATATGTTTTGTGTCCTACTTTGCAGATGAGGACGTGTATCGGCGTTTTGAAAAACATAATTGTTTTTTCTTTCATTCATTGCCATGGAATATGCGTTTACATTTTTTTTTTTTCACTGTTAATAGCTCAGTTGATGCGGCTGGCAATCATCTTGCCGGCGGAAGTTTCATAGAAAAGGAATAAAATGAAAGACTTTTCCTGAAGATTACGTAATCAGTTTCCGTGGTGCAGTGGTTAAGTGTAGTCGCGTCAAGCTGAAGGTGCAGGGTTCGAGTCCCACCCAACTCTTTGTTTCTTCTTTCTTTGTTTTTCTGTTTTTTGTATTGCTGTTTTCTATAAATATATAGCTAAATAACTGTTACTTAATAAAGTGCAACAAACAGCAAGAAAAGTATTGTGTTTCCAGAGAAAATATCGTGCACCATATACTAAATATATGGATAAACAATCTGAATTTCTATTACTTCCTAAAATTTACGGTGGGAAAACCAGAGTTGTAACTACTTGATCATTTTCTAAACAACTTCCCACAAGTTCTTTCTATAGACTGATAGTAATTATTCTAGTACTTTCCAACATGTGAATAGGACATTCAATGTCATTTTCGATTCTTTTAAGTCTCACTGCCTAACTAATGCCAGTATCAACAGAATGTGCCGCAGCATTACTATCTCTTAGATACCCTAGTACATGTATATATTTAGGTACATAGTAATAATCATATATAAAGTACCTAACGATTTTTTCCAAAGTTTTTAAAAAATATTTTTCTGTACCGAAACTTTTATTTTTGTACTGAAATTTATACTTCTTTACTGGGATACATATTGTTGTACTGGTGTATATTTTATTGTACTGGTAAATATACTTGCACAGTCAATGAATATGTTTGTGTACTAAGATATAGAAGGCAGTAATATAATATATATTTGTGTATTGCCGTTGTGGGCCACCGTACAAATGAAATAAAGGCCAGAGAAAAAAATTACACACAAAGTCAAGTTTTTTTGTAAAATGCTAGAAAATACAAAGCTCTGCTGAAAACATTTCATTTGAATGGTGTAATTATTAAGGATTGTCCACAGATTGAAAGTTTACTAATGTTTCTTTAAAAAAAACAAGCAAGCAAACAAAAAAACAAAAACAACAAAACTTACTCTGACAGCTTCTATTTCACCAAAGGTGGAAAAATATTCTGCCAGGGTCACTGAAAAGTAATTCAAAGAGCTACTGATTTCCTTACTAATGTAATTACAAGTTAAAATAGCTTATCAAAAAAGGACTGTTCTTTAGGTTTGACTCTTAGCCATGTCATGCATTCTGCATCACAGTGAAGTCATAAATAATAATTTATTATGGACTCCATTCTACAAACTGAGACTGAAACACTTTGTCAAGTGAAGGTCAGTGAACCACATATTAAAATAAAAATCAGCATTTCTTTGTGACTGCATATGGCAAATTCCATTCCATGTCTCAAAATAAATAACCTGTCCATGATGGCCACATATAACATCAACAATAAAGATAAACTCAGTCTGGTAAAATTATTGGAAGGAAATGGATGTTTAAAACTGAGTATTATACTCAGCGATTGTCCAAAACTGTCCCATAGAGGATCATTGGAAATTCCAATGGTGGGGTGGGGTGGGGTGGGGAGGAGACGAGGTGAGTGGTGGTCTTAAAAGGCCAACGTTTTTAAAGGAAAGTCTGAAGCTAAGGTAGAATTTAAGGGCTGGGGAGTCAGTATGGACATTTTTGTGGGACAACAGTAGATGTGCATGAGGGTTGCACAGGCGCAGATCTAGGATAAATACTGACTGATTTTCTAAACAAGGGCTGAAGGCACAAGCCTCTACGGGATTGTAGGGCATACTCTGGGCCCAGGAATTGTTTTGGATTTTAACTCCCTGAAGTCCCCTTTCCTGAGTTTCTGAGTCACTGGGGGGCATCTGATCCCTGGAAATTGGAAAAAAAAACTGTTTATCTAAACCATTTTTCAAATTTCAACTTGGGAAGTTTTTCACGTATTATTGTTAAACACTGTATTATGAAAAATCTGATGGATTTCTGTAAAACATGCGTGGATCTGTGCCTGTTGCACATTAAAAAACATGACAAATGACAAACATGGTGCAATTATTGTACAGTGAAATGTTGAAACTCATTGGGCCAGGTGTTTGGGTATATCTTGGTGTGAAGGATGGTTATGATCTTATTACTGTAATAAAAACAGTGAATTTGGGTAATTTACAGACAAATGTAGAATTCTGGTGGAGAATGTTGGAAGTTAAAAGACTTTAAAAACAGTAGGGCTTTTTAGTATCTCTATGATAACTTTTCCTTCATTAAAAATTTTTGGTCTCAGAGGTTTTATTTTTCTGCTCCTGATCCATTTTACTTCTACCTTGACTAAACCAAAACACAGTCGTGTTTCTTCCACTGCAACAAAAGAGAATCATCTAAAATCTCCTATGGCAATTCCAACAGTAACAAACAAATAAAACGGCCTGAATGATATAAAATTATTTTTTGATGCTATGGAAATGCATGCAATTGCGTGGATGAATCTTGGTCATCTCTACATTATGCCCATGCAAAATACCACAAAGATTATAATTATTTATGATTAATATTGAACATTAAGTCTTTACCTTCTTTAGTTTTCCAGTCAAGATTTCCAACAAAGATCTTGGCTCTTGGATCATCTAAGTTGTACACAAAACAATGACTGAAAGTTACACACCGATAATCAATAATAATGTTCCAAATAAAAATATTTGTCATGAGGGCTCTATTTTAATAGACCTTTTGGCATCAATTTATTTATCTATAAAGACAAAGCAGGCAATCATGATTTTAATGAGATGTAACAGTATACACCATTAGCAAGCTTTATTTTGAATTTTTGAGCTTAAGAATTAAAGGACAAATTCAACTGCATGAGTGTTCTAATACATTTGTTTCTTTGTTTCTTTTGTATTTCTTTAATGAAAAAATTTATTAGTAAATTGCTAAGCATATAATTTTAGTATTAATTTGATTAACATGAGGAACAGATTCAGAATACAATTATACAAACACTTTTTTACATACATCACATGCGTTTTATTTGTTTTTAAGATTGACATACAATTATTTACATGCCCTGGAGTAGCTATGCTAATCTAGGCGTGTCATGTTTTCAGGAAATAAATACAACTAAAAGTGACTAGAGACCCAATAAACTAAAACTGAGACTACTGATGAACTAATGCAAGTAGTAACAATGACAACACAGTTATGACTACAGACACTACTGGTACAGTTGTCTCTTTCAATCACCGTTTTCTTTTCTTAATGCATTTACTTTGTCTCCCATTTGTCAACAAAAAAAATGATCTAAACTAGTCTCACATCAGATACAATAGCGATCACGCAGAGTGCTAGCGGAAGCATCTGTTCTGAGCGAGCTCAGAGGTCTTCTCTAGTATCAGTAACTGTTTTTCATAAAAAAGAATTGCCTACAGGTACGCATCTGGCAGTTCCTTCAGTAAGATTTAAAGCAGTTGGCTATATAATGTTAGCACCTGGCAGAAGTTCCCCTTTCCTCAAATAGGGTCTGGGGCCATGCAACCCTGGAAAACTTTTGAAATAGAGAAGCTAAGAAGGGCCATCACCAGTGATTTGAGGGAGAATATTAACATTCATGCATTCAGCTTTCCATGATTGATAGAACAAAAAAATTATGTTCATGTTCACAAGACAGAGCAACATACTTAGCCCGCCAGAGCATCCGGCCGCCCTTCTCTCGGCAGGTGAAACTAGAAACTTGAGTCGAAAAAAACTGGATGCTCTCGCAGGCTACAACATACTAGACTCAGTTGAATTTGATACATTTATTTTTAGTGCAGTACTAAAACAGGAAACGGAGAGCAGGGAACGAGTGCAGGGAACAGGAAAGTGAAAAATGGGAGCAAAACCTTAATTAAACCCTGGCCCTGGCAATAATACAAGTTTCTGATAGGTCACAGAAAAAAAGTCACATTTCGAGGGATTATGAGGGACAAATTCGCAGAAATTGGCCGATTTCACAGGATATTTCGCAGGGAATTTCCGGGCAAACTTCGCTGAAAAGCAATTGGTAAAAAACGGCCAATTTTGTGGGAATTTTCAGGCAAATTTTGCTAGAAATCAATCAGTTTTGCACTGATCAGACCAGCCCTTTTAACGTCTTTTTAACAGACGTCATCATTATTTTGCTCTTTCAACAACAATACACTCCAGAAATGAACCAATGGCAAAGCCTTTAACATCATGGCTACTGCCCAGTTTTTCGCAACATAATCCGTGCCTGGTAGTTTCAGGACGTTGTTTGCTTGTTTCAGTGACAAAGTTGCAAGATAAATTTGCGAGTTTACAATAAGTAAACAGCCCCATTAGCTGAGATAAATTTCAACTATGTTGTTGTGGCTCTGTGACCAGAAGAAAAATCAGAAACCCTGAAAATAGCCTTCAAAAACAGCCATTTTTTTCTTGCTCCTCGCTGCTGGGGATGTTTCGCGAGGAGGAATGTCTGCACCTCAGCGACAGAAGTTCCATGCTGATGATGTAAAGTCTGTCCAGAATCCAGTCATAAGCGCTTATTGGACAACAGAGTAGTTACATTGTTATAGCGCGCAAATTAACATTCGAATATGATCAAATGCGCGTTACATCTAAGATACCTAGAAACTATAAACAAAAGCAAAAGAAAACTATATACATCATATAAAAACTAAAAATACATCATAAAAAACCTGTTTTTGCTATTGTTTATGAATGACAGAAAAAAGCAAAATAACAAAACAGTCAATATTTGTGGAAAACATTCTTCTCTAGAAGAAGCATTTGAGTTTTGTTGGAGCTCATTTGCAGATAAACGCAATTATTTATCAAAATCGACTTGGAGAAACCTAAGTTGAACAAATTTGCATTTGGAACCCCAAGACTACTGGATTTATTATGTAAACATTGATTTACATCATCAGCAGGGAATTTCTGTTGCTGAGTTGCAGATGTTCCTCCTCGCGAAACGTCTCCAGCAGCAAATGTTAGCAACTTCATTTCCAACTATCTGCTTTGTTCCCATTTTTCATTTCCTGTTTCCCATGGTCAATTCCTGCTCGGACCCCTTCCCCATTTACAGTGCAACCGAGAAAACTGCGAACACCTAAAATATACCAGGAATGCTTGTTGTTTTAAACCATTCAAGTTTGAGGACTTCATTTGCCAAAACGGCAGACTAAAAAACCATTAAAAATATTGGTCGCGTTAAGCAAAATCAAAAGAAGGGAAAAGGTTAAATTTTCCTTAAAATGATGTTAAAATATGGAAAAATTGGTTCCGAAATATCACAGGGGTTTCAATAAGAATTGCAGTAGCAGGAGAATAGTGTAAAGTAACAGGGGAATATTTTGAAAGGGTGAAGCCCTTTCCTGGAAACAGCTTGAAAATGAGCCTGAAAATTTTGCATTTTAAACCCTGCTGAGATGGCTTTTCCTGTTGTTTGGTAGCAAATTTTATTTCTCGTAGCTGCCGAACAAAAAACACTGCATACCTTTACATGGTTTCAAAACATTTTTTCTTTGAATTAACAGGCATATTGTTAAATTATTATGATCGACTTCTAACCCTGTTACACACTCCTAGAGATATGACTTGTGGATCTATCTTATTAAATACCAACATACCAAAGAGTGAATATGAAATAATTCTCAATACACTTTAACTTCAATTCAATATTTCAAGGATGTTTTCAATAGTGAAAACGCGAGACATGAGAAACCTTTCCCGCTTCTGTCGACAACACATGTGCTTGCGCTAGACAGAACACATTTAACAAATATTCGCTCTCAGCACAAAACTTTGCCTGTCCAGTTTAACAGATGATTTGTTGTGTATCGATGATAATTATATAGCTGTTAGTTTATCTGATATTGTCAACAAAGCTATTATCCTTTAATTTTTACGAACTGTCCAATTAAGGATTAATTTGGATAGTTTCAGATAGGACTTTCTTTTACGAATGGGCAAACTGTCCAATTTAAGAAAAATAGGACAGCTGGTCTGAGCCAATCAAATGCCAGAAAATACAATAGGCAATGCAAACTAGCCAATCAGCGCAAAGTCCTTGTGACAACGCGCCAAAAAAAGTCTCGTTCGCTGACGGCTCGTTGGCTGCTGTTTTGTTTTGGCTTCTTGTCTGCGCCATTTAAAAAGGAAAATGTATGACTTAACTGATGAAAGTTTGTATTGGAAACAATCAACGATTCTTGAAAATGTAGAAGCACTGAAACTTTGGACAAGAATAAGAAAACACTGATAGTTGTGTTTAGACGTTGGCATTACAAAACAAACGGACAAAGTTTGTGCCGAGGAATCGTTTGAGGTAATGAATGAACATGATGAAATGTTTATTTCAATAGTTTTCGTATGTAAATTAAGCTTAAGCATTTGCATTGTTGCTTTGTACTCGAAATTGCGGTTTTCACCTGTGCCATCGTATCATTGCCGTATCATCGAAGGAGCTTTTTCAAATGTACACTTGACTACAAATGCCAAAGTATGAAAGAGCAATAAGCTTACTAGTTCTACGTTTGTTTATTTGTAAAGAATAACCAGTGTGTTTTTGTTTCAAATACACTACTGGCGGGTTCGAGTGTACAATGTTTCGCGTCTGTGACATACTAAAAAATCTGGATTAACTAACCAGCTATATAATTAATAAGTAAGAGGACTACATGCTTGTCCAATTTGGAAATAATTGAATTCAAAAAATTCCTCTGACAGCCAAATTGGACTCGGCCTACGGCCTCGTCCAATTTTGGCTGTCCTCGGAATTTTTTTCATCCAATTATTTCAAAATTGGACAGCATGTAGTCCTATTACATATACAAATTTCTCCTTTGTTTCCTCTCCAGTTACAATTTATAATGTGCCATTTTAGAAGTCACCGTTAAAATAGAAAAGCTCAAAAACTGCATTATTTTGTTTCATAGTAATTTGATACATACTCTGTCATTTATATATCATAAACAACGCCAAATTTACTTCCATAGCAGTTCACAAAGAAATCATTCTTGTTATTCATAAAGGTATTTGATTCTCATCGCTTAAACATTTCTCGTCGTAACTTTGCCCCTACGATTTGTTCATTGTGTACTTTATTTTGTTTCACGTTTTGCTTCATTCGTATTTATTTGTTTAATAATTTTTCACATGCAAATTAAAAATTGTTAAGGATACATTCAATTCTCCACGCTTCAGCAAACCACCTGATACATGTATTTTACACGTCCCCTGTTAGTTTTGTTGGGCTTAAAACTGCTAGCATTTCAATAAGACCTTTTATGTAACGTAATTTAATGTAAAGCAAGTGGCTAAGCACTAAAATTACGCATTTCTGGGAATAATTTCTTTTTACATAACGTGTCCACATCAGATTCATCAGAATAAAAAATAGCCATACTTCATTGAAATTTAGCCGGAGAATTATGCGTAGTAAACAGAGAATTCTCCAATCTCAGATACTTAATAAAACCCCTGTATCGGCTTACTGTTGAGTCAGCTGTGACAGGTTTTGAGTGATCAATAAATCATTCCTGTGTTTTAATTTGTGGAATTCACTTGTTTTATTTCAGAGTAGTAAATAAATACCGAAATAAGCAACGGCACCACAGTTGTATTGGAGCACGCCACCAGTGATCGGTGAAAGGACAAATACATGTACTGTTGTGTTTCTTTATGAGTAGTCTCAGAGGTTTAACGACAAGAATTAGCTCAACTTATATCAATTACCCACACAAACAACAGTTAACACTCTGCGGTTTGGCAAGTGGATTTTGGACACGTGATTGGACAGAAATACAATCCTGACATATTTCAGGTGTTCAAGGTTTTCTCGGTCCCACTATAAGTAACATCTGTGTAACTGCAACAAACATTGCACCAGTCATATAATTTTACATTTGCAGTGAAATTTTCACTTTGCTGACAAATGATTGGTCTCATCAACAGCTTGCAAACACAAATTTAGAGCAAGAGTATGAATGTGAACAGCTGTTATTTGAGGGGAAGCATTGCGTTACATACCACATAATAGCAGAATAGAAGATCACACAAAGTGAAGCACATTTATGAGTATGGTATGGTGGTACATGTAGTTAATTAATGTTTTAGTTCAGTAAGGACTTAATTTTAATCTTCCTATCTTAAAACTTACATATTTTTATCATATATTACCATATTCATATTCTAGTATGCATGATTGGCGTTGCATGGTTTGCGTTTACTTTTACCAGTAGGTTATGTTTACCCTGTGCGCATCACTCACATTTCCTTCTTTTCTGCGGTGTGCCAGCTGTCAAGGTCTCTGCTGTGTGCGACTGCGGATGAAGTGGTTTTGTGCTGGTATCAGGGCGGTTTTTTTGCCATTCCTCGAGTTGTCTTGATTGCTCACGAGGTCTTTTACTTCCACTTGCATTTTTCTTATAACTCCAGCCAAAAGTGGCCATTACAGGCTCAAATAAAGCCTCGATTCGTCAATAAACCTGTTCTCCGCCATGTTTTGTTTGAGCCTGTTTGGACAGCGGCTTAGTTACAAACAGTATGTGCACTCACTCAACCTCAGCTTGTTTGTATTTTTTACTTATTTGAAATCTGCGCAATCTGAAAAAGCGTGCTTATTTTGAGCACTTCTTCGGAAACTTGGCGCTCATGTAATATTGATCAGCAAGGCTGGACCGTTGACGAGATATCTTTGCAACTTGGACTGATGTTTTGAGGCCGATTCCCGCGTTCAACATTGGTAAACTGGTTTGTGTTTTTCCGGTGCGGTACGAAGTTGTAAAATCAAAGCCTTCATGTCAATTATTTTTGTCACAATGAAAGCGGATAATATTTCGAATCAAGGAGTGAGCTAGTTGAAAGAAAGTTGAAAATTTATGTACAAGTAACACAGCTGTGTCTTGTTTGTTTTGATCGAATTTCGTCATGGCGAATTTTGGCAACCTGATGTCCTTTTCGTCCGACGAAGAAGACAACGTGGCCGTAAATTCGGAAGTGTCGTGGCTCACAGTTTTGTCCTCAGAATTTAGCGTCAGCGCTAGAGGCCGATCTGAAACCGAAAGCACACGTTCGTTGTCGCCGAACTTCTGTCCCTCAGACAGCCATCCCGCTAGCGCTTGTGGAAACAACAGAGGGTACTTGGAAGACTACCAACGAGCGGTGAAAACAGAAACACGGTCTTCGCAATCGAGCTTTCCCAGTGATAGCCAACGCTTAAATTGGGTTGAATTTACAATTGATAGTGATGAAGGTCGTGACAGTCTGTTTAATCAGCAACGTCAATTAAGGACTTCTCGTTCCTGGGACGAATTAACGCCCCCTACGAGTCCAGTGAAAAAGCGTAATAATATTCCCCAATTTCCACAAGGTGGATTTGCAAATTATCACAAGTCCTTCAGGCCACCATCAGAGTTATTGGATAGCGAAGGAACAGCTTCTTACAATGGCTCAGGTGTATTTAAAAACAATGACAGCCCACCATCTTACACCTCTAATTTGTTTGTGACCTTGAATAGTCAGCATTATGGAGTTCAGAGTACAAATCAGTCTGTCATAACCACTGCATCTTCAAATTCGAGCAGCGAACATCCTTATGGTTCTATCACCCTAAAGCTCAAAGGAGAATTATCCACCAGAGGAAGCAGAGAGGAAGTTGGAGCATCTCAAGATTCTCTGTCAGATGAACTTGTTTTTCCAGAAAAGGATAATGAGACTTCTGAGCAGCCAGCTATTAATTCTGGTAACATAAGGCCTCTTAAAGTGCAACTTCCCCCTGAGGAGACCCCCAAAGGTCCTAAAGCAAAACTAAAGAAAACTGTTTCTCGTAGCAAATCTGTTCCTCACCCTCGTCCACCTTTACCTACTCTCACCGACCATCCTTTCTCATCTTCATTTCCCGACAAGAAATCACCAGCTGCCTCAGAATCCAGTAAACGTAACTCAAAATTCATTTTCTATGGGGATGGATTATTTGATGTGGCAAAAGAGCGAAATGAAGAGGCTACTGCTTTCAGTGAAATGATGTCAAGACTCAGATCAAACGTTCACTGGGATGATCAAACAAACCCTGGTCACGTGATTAGTCCTACAATACCTTATGATTATGAAACATTTCCTCACAACACAGAGGCAAAACTTGCCATTTACACAGAGGGACGGAAGGACACCCTTAAGTTTATCTTCAGTGTTCACAGTCAAATAAGCAAAGTAATTGAACTGGCTTTGAGTTGTTTGCTGGACGACAGTAAACTGATAAACTTCAGCGCTGCTTACTCCTACGTTGTCAAAGTCTGTGGGCGATCTGAGTATCTTCAAGCAAATAGTGTTTTGATACAATATGGTTATGTCCAGGAATGCGTGAAATTTGAACGAGAGGTGGAACTTGTGCTGCTTGAAAGTTGGCAAGTCTCAGGGCAGCTGGCCAGGACTGAAGACGACGACATAGATGACAGTGTTCCGCGGAACTACAAGGAATTCTTTGATTGCCCCGTCAGTATTGTAGTTTCTGAATATGGACTGACCGTGCTCTTGGAAGCATTCAACGATGAACTTGTCAAGCTTAAGGAAGAGACGACCAACCAAATCAACCCACGATTTGAGCCTAGCCGGGTAATTCAATCTGTGAAAGCAATCTGTGCAACTCTTGCTTCCTTGGAGACCAAACAAGTTATTAATTCAGTTCAAAACTTGAGAGGACTACAGAGTGCTCATGCACCAGGAAGAGAAGTCCCTGACGAGGCAGTGTTTTATGACGCCGTTAAAAAGCTACAGGCAGCCGTTTTGCTTCTGATTGAGACTTACTGTGACGCTTTCGATACTGATTTTGTACCGACCAGGGCTGAAAGACCAAAACTGGCGGGATCTGTTGAAGTCACCGCCATGACAGACAACTTTGGTGTGCACGTGGCTTTCGCTAACAGACTGCCGGTACATTGGAATCAGGACTTTGATCGCTTCGAAGTACAGTGCGGTGTTTACTACGGAGGGCGCTTGTCTTGTCCTGTTGAAGTAACGCAACAACGTCAAATCACTAGGCGTTTCTTTAACCAGCTGCGATGGGATGAGTGGCTTCAATTCAAGATCCAAGTGCGTCAGCTACCGCGAGAGTCCCGTCTCTGTCTTACCCTTTATGGAATTGCCGTAACCGGTAAGGGCAACTCTCTGAACACCACCAGGACCCCACTTGGATGGGTGGCAATTCCCCTCTTCGACTTCAAAGGCGTGTTGGTTTCAGGCACGCATCTTCTTGGATTGTGGCCCGACGACGTTGCAAACCCTGTGGGAAGTTGTACGTCAAATCTTCTCCATCCATCGAGCGTTATGCTACAGGTCGAATTTGAGCCTTATTTGGCTGACATTGTGTTTCCGGATTTCGAGACCAATGGCTTGTTGGCTTACGATGAAACTGATCGCTGTGAAGCTCAAGCCAGGAATGCCGACGTGTACAAGCCCATTTTGGAAAAAGACCTGTTCAACGAGCTTAAGCCGGAAGAGAGCGAACTTTTGTGGGAGCACCGCTATTACTGTAAGTCAGTGCCAAAAGCGTTACCTCTCATTCTTTCTGCAGCACCATCATGGGAGTACCAATATCTTCCAGTGATCTACAGCTTATTAGCTTCCTGGGCGCCTCTAAAGCCCGTGGACGCAATGGAACTGCTCAAAGTCAGCTTCCCTGACACCCGTGTGCGAGCTACAGCTGTTGATTGGATGGAGGCACTTGTGGATGACGAACTTTGCGATTACCTTCCACAGCTTGTCCAGGCATTAAAGTATGAAATATATCATGACTCTGCCTTGGTTCAATTCCTCGTTCGCCGTGCTCTCGCCAGTGTTCGCGTCATGCACTACCTGTTCTGGTACTTGAAAGATAACATCAGCGATCCTCAGTTCGGTCAACGCTTTCAAATCATTCTCGGTGGCCTCCTGAGTATCTGTGGCAATGCGCAGAGAACTGAGTTTACCAAACAAGACGAGATCGTCCATGACCTTATCCATGTGGCGCAGCACGTCAAAGGCGCGAAAGATTCTTTGAGGACGAACATTCTTCAGCAAGAGTTAGCTGTGGTTGCTGCGAACATGTTCACAAGCGTAAGACTTCCCATAAGCCCAAGCTATGAGGTCAAAGTCATCGACGTTAAGGGCTGCGGCTACTTCACCTCCAACTCCGCGCCTCTGAAACTCATTTTCAAGAACTCAGACCCATTTGGTGAAGACGTACACGCCATGTTCAAAATCGGCGACGACATGAGGCAAGACAGGCTTATTATGCAACTGGTTGGTATCATGAACAAGATCTGGTTACGAGAGGGAATCGACTTAAAAATGATCACCTACAGGTGCATAGCAACTGGAATCGGCATGGGAATGGTGGAAATTGTTAAGGAGTCAGTAACACTTCGAGAGATCCACACTGAGTTGGGCTTAGCAGGGTCTTTCAAGGACGAGCCAATCGCGAGATGGATCCAGAAGTACAATCCAGGTGAAGAAAGCTACCACCAAGCGGTTGAGAATTTCACAGCCTCCTGTGCCGGCTACTGTGTTGCCACGTACGTCCTCGGAATCTGCGATCGTCACAACGACAACATAATGATCAAGAGAAGCGGCCACCTTTTTCACATCGATTTTGCTAAAATACTTGGCAATGCACAAATGTTCGGATCATTTCGCCGCGATCGGGCTCCTTTCGTACTGACTTCGGACATGGCTTTCGTCATAAACGGTGGTTACGAACCGAGTAGCCGTTTCCAGGACTTTATTGACCTTTGTTGCAGGGCGTTCAACGTTATCCGGCGCCATTCCAACTTGTTACTTAACTTGCTGTCCCTGATGCTTAATTCCGGAATTTCTTGTTTAAGTAAAGTTGCTGATTTAAGCTACATTCGGGATTCGTTGCTCCCAGACTCATCCGAAGGAGAAGCCACAACCGTGTTTACTCGCCTCATAGAGTCCAGTCTCTCCTCGTGGTTTACTCAGGTGAACTTTTTCATTCATAACGTGGCACAGATTCGAGATGTTGGCCAACTAAGAATTTCATCGCCTGCCAATTCCGTAGCAAGCTCAATTCTTTCGTTTGCTCGTGGTACATACTCAATTCAATCGGACGGTTTGATTGACTCTGCACGTGTCGTGGATTTTCAAAAACGCTACAGTCCTGAAAAATATTACATCTATGTTTTGAACGTTTGCCGCGTTGACGTCCAAGAACCGTCGTTCGTGTTTCGTCGATTCAGTCACTTCCATGAGCTGAACACAAAACTCACCGCAGAATTTCCGCAAAGGAACTTTCCGAGGCTTCCGAGCAAGATCTACCTTGGTCGTTCCCAGATCCGAGTAGTTGCCGAGCGGAGGAGAAACGAGCTCGACGACTATATCCGACACTTGCTAATGATGCCGCCTGAAATCTCCGAGTCTGAGCTTCTGTACACCTTTCTTCACCCCTCACAGCAGGACCGCTTAGAAGCTAGCAAGTTCTCCATGCGCTTACTGCCCGAAGAGAAACGAAACCGAGAGCGAGCAATCGGTGGTAAAGTGAAGTTGTTGATTCGACACGAACACGAAACACTTCGCGTGATGGTTATGCATGCAAAGGAGTTATCCCCGAGGAATCAAACGAATTTGTCGGATCCGTATGTCAAACTGTACCTCTTGCCAGATCCCATTAAGGCCACGAAGCTCAAGACGAGGATTGCGCGAAGGACCCTTAATCCGACGTACAACGAAACCTTGTGTTACAGCATATCAGAGCGTGAGGCACGACAACGTCTCCTTCAGGTTACCGTGCTAGATCATGATTACGTTGGTGAGAACGAATTTCTTGGCGGAGTACTGATAGATCTTTCACAAGCTGAGCTCAAGACATCAGTGGCCCGTTGGTACACTCTAACAGACATCAGAAAACCACAGTGAATAAAGGCGCATGAGCGAATTTCATCGTCCTGAAATTAAGATTTTCATATATTTGCAGCAGAAGGAACCAATCCTACAATCCTTCAGTTGGAGCTCGTTAAGGCTCTTCTCCTGAAGATAAATGGACCTCCCCAGCCAATAGGAAAGAAGTGCGTGGCTTTTTCCTCTTATTTGAGAATTGCATCATTGAAAGCAAGTATGTGAGGTATGCTGCGTATTCAATACTTGGCCAAGAACAATTGAAAATACGTTATCTCGTGACCAAGAGAGACTGCCCAATTATGTACTCTGTTGTCGTGACTTACGACCTTACCACTCTACGATGAGTTGGTTGACTTCTTATTTTATCTTGTAGAATTTTTTTTTAATTAGTATGTAGTAGTGAATTCTCGTGGGAATTATAATTTCAGTCTGAGTATCAGATTTTGCGTTAAACGCAGTACAAAGAAACGAGTTTTAGAGTTAGAAGAAATGGATTCATTTTCAGAATAGCATCTTTCGATTTAAAGAAGGTTTCGGTCTAGTTCGACTGGTTTTTATTTCACTTTTAACCTGTGTACAGTCGACTTCTTCCCTCCATCTAGTGAACAGGATTTCCCGATGGAGATTCGTAAAAAAGCCCCATCGAAAGCGAGACACCTTTTCTCCTTATTTTCGCTCTGTCTGTTCACAGACTACTCCCCGTAAAAGAATCTAAGGGGACGAAGAGTCTGTACACGGGCTACACGTGTTTTAATGAAAGAAATTTTCGAATCCATAAAAGAGAGGTAAAGCACCACGGTTACGGCTGCTTCCCGTTCACCGTCAATAACCTTTTTTCTAACTGCAGCTTTAATTTGGTCGCTGGAATAGCCTGGAAAATAACTACCTTTTGGGGGCGGGTGGTAGGGGGGACTTAAGCGTGGTGCCTATCCAACAGAATCCTGGACTAAAATCTGGTACTTAGATAACATTAATTCCCAACTTATTGTGTAAGATGCCTTTCACTGATTCAACAGTACTTAAAAAGTTGTGAACAGTTATTTATTGGTCCGAGTGTCACATTTTTCAGGCGCCTTTTTTCTTGCCTTTCAGCATCTGAAGGGAAGAGTGTATAATTTGTGTGCTTACTGCGAATTAAGCTATACGCAGATGTTACTTTTGCACAGGTTTACACCAAGAGAGAATAATGGGCCAGAGAGGGAATCGCCCAGATTAGCCCTTGGGATATGTAGATTTAACCAACCAGTTAAACTCTTGAAATCAATGGGAAGTTAGTTTCCAGAGAGGTCCGCAAACTTTTATTCAGTGTTGTCAAGAGAGAACAGTCGCCACCACAATATTCTGCGTTGTTTGCTTTAAGCCGGGCAGTCGCTCGTTGACTTGATGAAGTTTCAAACGATAAAATTATTGATCAAAATGTGCAAATGTCCCTGTAATTAGATTTTCGTTTAATTACAACCTCTAGAAATAACTTTAGTGAAATTCACATATCCCGGCCAAAGCCCTTGATTCCCTCTTTGTCATAAAGTTTCAACTTATTTTTTAAGTGTGCAATTTGCAGGCACAATTTCCTTAAGGATTTGTGCCCAGCGAAAACAATTATGGCATGAATTAACCAATCTTACCAAGGGCAAAGGGCTCCACGAAACGTTAGCGTTTGGCTCTCTTTGTTGTGGCAAATATCACCCTCCCTCTCCTCCCTAGCTACTCACCGCCACAATTTTTGATTATTTGAAACTAACTCTTTAATTTCTTTTAAGTACTTTACACGAGTTTCACATTGGCGTGCCCTGTTAAATTCAGTTTATTTAAGTGGCCATATGTACTAAAAAAAAGTTTAGACTAGAGAATGGGTGACGAGGTCGCGCAAATTCCGAAATACGATGTCTGCAAAAAATAACTAGTTGCAGACAGGGATTAAAATAAGCGTTGGTTAGTCTTAAAGAAGAATTTAATTTTAAGACAGTTATACGAAGCACCATAAGAAATTCATTATAGTTATAATCATCATCGAGACCCACAGGGTCGCAGTTAATCAGGAGGAAATATTAACAGTTTTTCAATACTAATACTGAACACTGGTTTCGTCTGTAAATATATCTCTTCTCAATCACCTAGTACGCTAGCGGTCGTGGATGACTTGTGATGACAGCCACAATCATCAATAAACAAGTCTTGTAAATGTCTAATGCTCATTCTCTCAATACTGCACTCAATGGTAATTCGCTTGAGTTTTAGTCAAGATTAGTTTGTCCCAAATAGCCTTCGGAATAAAATTTCTTTGGACTGTAAGGAAATAGTTGTATCCTGGCTGCTTGTGCTTATTTAAGAATCTTTTCAACCAGTTGTATACCATCAGTTGCGTAGCGTTTTTGGGGTCGTCAGTCCATGGTCTTCTAGAGGCCGAAGATCAAAGAGGCCAAATTAAGATACAAGTACACTTTCACTGATTGCGTTCTTAGATTTTTTGTGAACGAAGGGGTATTTCCGGGGAAGAAAACGGTCAGCCATAATAAGCCTACGTTACAAGGCAATTTTTTACTGACATTTCATTACAGGGGCCAATTTTTCGTCAGTCATTACAAGTGTATAAAGAGCAATTTTCTAGCAGGGGGAAAGTCATCTTTCTGCCGTATATTAGTGACAATACCATAGTTAGATTTTACTTCTGCGCTAGCTAGTAGTTGATACGAAGAACATTAAACGATAAAGCCAAACTACCAACTTGTCAGGCTATCACAAGATTTGAGTCATCCTGTGCCGACTTGTATCAAGGAAAAACTTTGTCAAAATCCTGATGGTTACCCAGCCTCGGGATACTGCATAATTTGAGGGTCACTAAACCTCCGTTGATAACAGTGATAACCTCGTTCCCGTATTTTGTCCATCGATTTTCATTGGCTGAAAATTGATGGATCTGACGGCGTTGGAAAATAAGGCAAAATACCCAGGCAAAAAAAATGGACTTTAAACAGGTCTAGGTTGTAGTGAAGAAGAAAAGCTTCATACGGGACTTCACGTCACGTGACGTCATGTGCGTGCGCAGTGAAAACGTGGGAAGTTGAAGTCGTATTCAACGCACGGTATCAAAGTTTTTCTTTCTAGTTGTTTGGAAAAACAAATGGATGAAACCTTTGCAGCAGATGGGAATGAAAACTCCATTAAGCGAAGAAATCACGCAGGGCCATTACCGAGGGTTATTTATGACCTGTTTCTAAATTGCATTCGGCTGCGCTGCGCAGCCACCCTCCCTAAGTGGATCCCGAGCGGACCCGAATTGAAAGCGGCGGGCTTTCCAAAACCCAAAGGAGGCATAACAAGACGTGAAAGATTCAAGAACTGGGCCGAACGAATGGATGTAAGGTTCGATGCTGAAGCGAACTCTGACGTACTTGTTCACAAACGTACTGGGAAGATAATTGTTCCCATAGAGGAATTTGAGACAGTTGTTAAAAAGATTCATTCTCAAGGTCACCATGATGTGAAGAAAACATTTGCCCTGGTACGTACTCAATACTCGCTAATGGAAATGTTACCAAACATTGAATAACTTATACAAGCACGTATATAACAAATATTCTCTCCAAACCTTATTTTAGCTAAATGTATTTTTATCCACATATGGAGTCTGGGGAAAATTAGCTTCTCAGCCCCTAGAGTGATTTGCCTGTCACAAGATTTTAGCCTTAATAATTTAAGTGATTCAGACAATCTGACACTGAATAGGAATTGTAAATGCATCTGTTGGAAATGAGGCGTAGTGACCACCTAAATTTTTTCACAGCTCAACAGTGAATGGCTTGACATTACCTATAGTGTGACTCAGAACCTCTGACCACAGATTTCGGCCTCATGGGCTGTTGACTCAGAGCCCATTCAGACTTGAGGAATAATTCTTAAATTTCTGCATATTCACCCGGTACCCACTTTTGAGCCCAATTACAAGGTCTCAAACTCGGGCACTGAATTCAAGTTTGGGTACTTGAAAAAAGGGTGTGTTCACCTTAGTGTCCAGCAAGTACTGTTCTTGGGCACCATTGCTGGGGCAAAAACACTGTGTCGAATGCTTGATATTACTTCCCAAACAAAATGATTTCAGAAAGAGAAATTAAGGATGAAAAAGGAGCAGTTTTTCATCTGATTTCCAAACACTCATTTAAACATTAATTTCTCTTGTATTTTCTTTATGAATTATTATTGATTTTGAGAACTCATATTGAAGGGTTCATTTTTGTCAGAATTAACATAAGCATGTTTGGCCAGGCTATGGAAGATTTTTTCCTCCTCAAAAATAGGTAGTTGCAACAAAGGTTTGGATGTTTTGGTTTCATAATTATATGAAGCTTCAAATTGTAGTAGGAAAAAGATGTCTTTTGTTTTGTGTGTGTGTGTAATAACACCAGCAGTCAACAAGGCAGTAAACCTTTTAATGTGAAACTAAGAAAACTGTGAACACCAGAAATATTTGTGGAATGTTTTTGTGTTGCGAGGAAAAAGCCGATCGGGCATGAGAAACTAAACGGCAGGCAACAGTGGTATTAATTTGTGATTGTGTGACTTTCTTGGGTTTCCTGATCTTTATTGTGATTGCATGCAATACATTCCTCATTTCTGAAATACAGTTGAATGTCTCGGTACGGACACCTCTCTATTATGGATAGTTTCCAATGTCCTGACAAAATTATCATATATTTTCTATTAAAAAAAACCTCCATAATACAGACTCTCTCTAACACAGACAACGGACACTAAATCTCGGCCCCAGAGAGTAAATTCACATAAAATTAACTTGTTTATTACGGACACTGCCGTGATCAGGTGATGATAGTTTGTCTATGCAAGTTGTGTGATTTCAAAAGCCCAACCGCTATATATCAAACAACAATTTGCAAAAGGTGTACAGAGCATGCAGAGGAACATAACTGACTTATTTAAGGCTTGAATAACTACAGATAGCATAAAGATCCTTTCTATAACATTTTGTACTCTAGTTACTGTTTACTGCACCTGCAAAATAGTGAAAGGCACTTTCAGAATTGTGCTTTAGGTTACAACTTTTTACAAGCAGCATTGCACTGTAGCTCATTTTGTTTTAAAACAGTGATTTGTCTCCGACTGTACTTACTTTGTAGCTGAGATGTACAATGTTGTATGCTACTGAAACTACTGAAAGACAGTGTCTTTGTGCTGTGAATTAATAAATAATTTATTAATGCAGTTTAAAAAATTTTTTATCTTACTGAGCACTTAAAACTGTAAGTAGAGTCATAAAAGTGATGTCATCGTACTGACCTCTTTTATACAGACCCCTCTCTAATACGGACACTTTGGTCTGTCCCGTCAGCATCCGTATTAGAGATGTTCGACTGTATTTCAGTTTTTCTGAGTTAGACAGTAACTCCTTAGTTGAATAGACTTATTACTTTCTGTGCTTTTTCATAACAAAAGTCGTGTAAATTTTCACAAGTCACCATTTTCACATAGACCATAATACACCTTGTTTAACCCTCCCCCAAATGTTGCTAATAATTGCCTTCAATTTCTCTTGGGATGACTGTAATACCCAGGAACAATTGAAAACAATGGTTATGCAAAATTCTGGGGGTGGTCTATTTGAAAATGGTGAAGTGAAGCACTTACAAGGAGTATTTCAATATTCTAGATTCAACAAAAGTATACTGTTGGACACAGGGACTTTGGAATTGACAGAGACATTGTTAGTATCGTGGTAGAAACCTGTGCAGGTTGTTTGTTGAAGGGTAAACTTTTGGTCAGTAATGGAATGAAAAATGGAGATAGTCATCTTGTTGTTCACAATGACAGACTACCACATTACATCTGGATGGGAAAGTCTGAGGCTTTATCTATGGTTGCCCATGTGCCAGACAGCAAGTGCATGTGGTTTGACAAGTCTGGTAGGTACTGTTTTATCCTGGTCATGTAAGTGATCATAATTATAGATTTGGGCAAAGCCAAAAGCAAAGCTCTCTTGGAATCTTGTACACCTGAACCTGAAATACAATGATGTGATATTGGTCAGCAGATTATGACAGTAGTCAATTGTTCATAACATGGATGTATAATATCAAGCTGAACATAGATTTTATATGCTATAGACTCCAAGTTAGTAAGCATGACATTACACATCCATTAACAGGAAGGGTTGGACATACAGACATACGGACCGACAATTTTGTCAGAACCAAAATTTCTTGGGTGCAGGTTGCATAGACAACCAAATTTTATTACCCATGGTACTCCAGTGAGCATGCTTTGCACACGCAACAGCTCCACCACCTTGTACCATAGGTGTACGGAGCTCTCAATAAGAAACATCTAAGAGGCCCTGCCAGGGTAAATTCCGACAAGCGACATGGCCCATAAAGTAGCGACAGCATGTAAAATGAAATCGCGACAAGAGACAACCTCCCTCAGCCAAATTGCGACAGTGACGGCAAAGCCGACAATAAGTGACAAGCATTTATAAACACCGACACGAGACGTTTTAAAATTCAGACAGGCGACATAACCTCCCCTCGGTAGGGACTCATCTAATGGACAGCTACAGGCAGAGCTTTCCATGGTTTTTTCAACTTCAACTGCCTTTTCTTACCTTGTGAAAAGAGAGGAGAAATTTTGATATGAGGTCAAGTGTCGTGTAGGCTTTTTGCAGTGGACCTCTTCCAGGAAGCGTGCAGTCTAGCAGGGTGTATGACTTAAGAAAGAGCATAAGTAGTGGGAATATAATCGTTCGGGTGAGTGTATAGGTAGTCCTAAAAAGGACTGTTGTTGACAATGACTGGCGTTTCAACAACCTGTGTGGTAGTCATCTTCAGAGTCAAAGTGAGTTTTATCGCCAATCACATTCAGTCTTCATAGGCAACAACATCAAGGCTTAACTGACAGATAACCAATAACATTGCAGCATAATTGACCAATCAGGCCAATCAGCAGTGTTTTCATCAACTGATGTGATACAACTCATTAATTTTAAGTCCAAGGATAACTACTGCAACAGGTTGTCAAAAAATCAGTCATTGTCAACAACAGACCTATTCAGGACTACATGTATGTTCACTCAGATGCCTAAACTCCACCTACAGTGTACTTATGAGATAACTCCTACAAACCAACCTTTCACAATTTTTAAACCTGAATGCTCTTTCTTAAAAGAAAGAGCATTCAGAATGAGATAGAATCATTTTGTATGATGTACCTCAGTGGCTTAATCAGATTTACCGTTTAGTTTGTTTGTACGTGTGTTTTTTTGTTGTTTAATTCTCTATACTCATTTTTTTTTTCCATTTTCAGTCCTTGCAATTAACTTGGATTTTAACACTAAACTCAAGGGTTTAGTCAATGAGTTAAGAGGAGAAATTGGAGCCACTTTGAAGGGGAGTAAAGATGCAAAAGACAGGCTGTTAAGAAGTGAGTATGTCCGCTTGACAAAGTAAAGTGTGTTGTTCTTTTGTATAGACAAATTACTGCCAACGTATTCCCCTCCAAACAGACTGACTGCCAGTTCCTTAAATGCTCTCATTTGATTTAATTTTATCTACCCATTTAGATGCATGAAAAACAATAGCCTTGACCATTTCAAAATATTTCACTGTTTTGTTCAGAGACTCGGTTGTTTGAACCAGGTTTCGAGTTGCATTTCACAAAACTATATATTAAACGGGTTGAGTTCAGAGAAAATTTAACAGCTTTCTCTCTTCAGGGACAAAGCGAACTTTCCATAAATAATGAGGTGTCCGTCTTAAAAAACCGGGGTTCAACTGTATCAAAATTCCAATGCTTGAGGAGAGAGGTACAGTAATTGGAGATCATTATAAGGAGGTAGCTGGCATTATAGAGAGGTTAAGACAAACGTGAATTTATCCGTAGCTACAATAAAAAGGGACAGCAGTGGAGAGGCGGCCGTTTGCAAAGATTCAACTTCAAAGGATAATAAGTCCCGCTCATGTTGTCCTTCAGCAGCATTTTTAAAAATTGATAATATTTAACAATTATTCCTCGAGCCTGAATGGACTCTGAGTCAATAGTCCATGAGGCCGAAGGCCGAATGGGCTATTGACTCAGAGGCCATGAGGGCGAGAGGAATAATTGTTTTAGTAAAATCCAACTAGTTGGTCAAAAATATCGGGACAAAACATTTTTAGCTAGTTAAAGCTAGACTTTACTCCTTTTTTGCCGCCAAAAAGCCGGCGCTTTTCGCTACTAGTTTGCTATTAGAACGCAGCATTAATAATAATCCACTAGCTGGATTTTACTAAAAGGTAATAGGCATTCCGGCGTTACTACAAATAAACAGGCCTGTTAGTGTTTGGAAAGTGGACGACTTAATTTTTATAAAAGTTATTAACGATTCTTTTCCTTTTCCCCATAGAAATATCAGTTGCTCAGTTTATCATCAGAGAAATGAGAATTTCGTCCCGCTCTCGACTACCGACAGAAATACCTGAATATAACCAACAATTTATAGATGATATGAAATCTCTTCTGGATAGCTACAAACAGGATGGGAAAGAACAGCTTTTCAGTACGGACATGGAACTCTTAACCGAAGCTTACAGAGGCGACGGATATACAGACTTGTTCATTCAAAGTGTTGAAGCACTGATCCGTTCGTTAACACCCAGATAGCATCTGCTAAGTGATAAGCATCGTAACATGATACCCAGAAGCGCGTAAAATTTTGAAGAAAAACCACTTGTCAAGTTTTCCCACATACACCAGCATATTTTAGCGAAAACCCTTCTCGAGAAAGAGGGGCTTAATATGTTGTATTACGGTCATCTCGCCACCACATACTAACTCTGTATAACTGACACTGTTTTCTTGCCTATGATTTTTACTTCTTGGTCAAGTTTAAGGTATATCGATACAGTTTTTGGGAGACCATACCGATATTTTTCAATCACCTAAAAAGTATTTTTATCCTGGTCCGATCGCTACAAAATTTTCACCAGTGATTGACCATGAATTAAAGTTTGTCAAAGTGTAGTTTTTAGTAAAATCGATGTCACTATGACAACAATAAACAAAAAACTTGAAATCGATCAAATCCGGATTTTCTGCGATCTAGACCTCTTACTGAAAATCAGACACCAGGAACTTTTAGTGTGGTGTTTAGCAAATAACCTCCGTGAGATGTAAAAAATTCTGTATGTGTGAATTCAAATAACACGAAAATATATTTGGAACCTTTTATTTCTGTAACCGTGATAAAATGTTTAATAAAAAAGTTCTAAATAACTCACATTAACCTTAAGTAGCGTCAGAAGGCTGCTTATAATGTCATTTTTCGATGCTAGGAAATTTCGGTGTATTTTCTTTCTTGCGATTCTGAAAACTAACCTGTTTTCTCACGAACTGTCTAAGTGCAACTTTATTCTAAATTTTGACTTTAAGCGCTTTTCTGTATTATCTCTAAAACGGCTCGTCTTCATGATGTACATAACAATGTCTGAAACTTTCATTAAGACTGATTCACTGCAACTCCTTGACGTCTCAGAAGAAACCTAGCCTACGAACCGGCCAAAAGTCCGCGTTACAACATTCACTGTTTTGACCTTATGCTAATTTTTCCAAATTGATACCCATTATACATACCTGCATGGTTAGTATATTTTAGTATGAATTTTATTGCGTATTTTGAATGTAAAACATTGACAATATGCACATTGAAATGTACTAGCCATGGAGGTATGTATGGTGGGAATTAATTTGGAAAAATTAGCATAACGTCAAAACAGTGAATGTGGTGGTAACGCGAATTTTTGGCCGGTTGGTAGGCTAGGTTCGTCTTGAAATTTCAAGGTGTTACAGTGAATCAATCTTACATCATCATCATGTTCACAGGCTTGTTAGCATGAGAATACCACGATTTGCACAAGAAAAGCAGGAAGGTTTGTACCAAAAAAAAGGTCGCCGCCAGCCTCGAATCTATTCGAAGGCCAGGGCACTGAGCACACAACCGGTAAAATGGGTTATTGGCACAATTCTTAAATCGCCGACACTGGGCAGATACTGTAAATCTTTTGTACACTTCATTATGTAAAAAAAACAATAGTCTTTTTTCCCTTACTTGGTTTTACAAGACAGCACTGGCCTGCAGGTAGCCAGAGCTATTCTGGACGGGCAAGACAATTTACCTGTAGGAAATATTTAATCTTATTTTTTGTTCGATTTAAAAAATCGCAGTGCATAAAAAATTTACAAAAGTTAAACGTTTTCGGAAAAAGCTGGTAACAGAAAGAGATGTCTGGCTTTTTTTGAGATAGAATCGTAAATGTCGGGGTGGTGTAGATTTCTAAATTGTAGCGACCAAGTTCTTATAAATCATCATCGAATTAACGCCACATTCTTCCGATTAGATGCGACGTTTATTCAAGCGCGGGGTTTATTGGTTATTTTACTTCCATCCGAGGCGTTTAATCGAGTCAATAGGGAATGTTCAGGGACTTGCTCAACTCGTCATCCAATCTATTTCTGATGGGGAAGGCGCTGAATCTCTTCAGAATTTCTATGTACACTGCTGGCTGGTATAGCCAAGGAACTCGAGGTTTTTCACACGTTGTTGTGTATGTAAGGCCCTAGCGCGCGATGTAAGAAACAGAAAGTAAAGTTAAAGGCTATAGTATTCTCAAAACAGACACAAAAAATGGTGTAAAGAATTGAGCAGTAATGAGAAAAAATTGAAAGAAAAAATGTTGCATTTTTTTCAATTATTTTTCTACGTTGAAATTTTCAGTTATAACTTCTGACGAAGAAATTCTGGAAAATTTCTTCTTATCTAATTCCTGATACTTCGCGGCGAAGCCGCAACAGCGAGGCGCGAAGCGCGCGGGAGCATTCTCAAAACGTTACAACAATTTATTTCATCCTAAGTCAGTTTCGAGAACGGCATATCTAGAAAAGCAACGCGCGCATGGCACGAGGGTTGTGGCTTTATCGTTCGCCTGTTCGTTCTCTCGCGTATCACCGACTCGCTTGTTATGAAAGCTTGCTCCCAGGCTTGTGCAATTGGTGATAATTGTAAACGAAAACTGATTGAAAGGTGACTTCACAATACTGGCCCAACACCACAATCCCACATCTGCACCATAGCTTACCACCATTGATAAATGTTCTGCTGTTGGCCATTAGTATCGCAGCTCTAGAAGAGCTCCTGCGCGCGCAAAAGAAATGAGCAAGTGTAATTGTTGTTTATGACATCACTAAATTTAAACCTCACTTTTGGAAGAAGAAACACGAAAGTGCAACTTAACCGAGAGATCATATAAAGTGAGTGATTTTTATCTAAGAAAGATTGTTTTCAGTGCATGTAAAAGATTCCGTCGACTGAAAGGATGGCACAGGCGTTTGTTCACACGGAGTTATAAGCAGCTCATGATCATAGCAACTTTGAAACAACATAATGCTACCATAACCAAACAAGCGGCAGTGATTAACATTAATAACTGCAGCTTGTTGGGCTATGGTAGTAAGCTGCGAACCGAGCCGCACAGTGGCTAGAGCAGGATATAAACCAGATCCAAAGGGATGAGTGGGAAAAATCTCAAAAGAATCCCAGCGTTCTCAAAGATCGTTAATGTTAAATTAAAAATTAGGAGAACAATATAATTTGAAGAAAGAGTTACAACGGGTGAAGGTGTCGAAAGAAGACATAAAACCGCTGTACACGAGCTAACTACAAAGAAAAACTATATTAAACTTAGAGAACACTGCACGTCACTGATGGAGAAACTTGAAGAGAAGACCCAGGAGCTGGTACAGAAACAACAGAAACTGGATCAAACAAAAACAGGAGCCGCTCGATTGGGGATACAGCCTCGGGACGAGTGTGTATGAGGAGTATGATCTGCCGAGTCATTTCCAGTGGTCTGGCAAGCCATCGTCCGCTAACGGTGCAGGGCAGCAGGGACTGCACTCGTGGACTGGCCTTCACAGCCAGACAAGACGCTGCAGTACCTCTACAGATCGACTGACTAGGGCGCACAAGCTTTGTCTCTTTTCAGGACTTCACCTGCCAATATGGCAAAGTACAGGGTGTTTCAAAAGTTCGTTCCGATTAAAAATTTTATTTTACGCAAAGCATTTAATGCTTCTTTAGGTAAATGTAAACTGATTCAGGCAAGAAATGTATCCAAGTAACCGTTAAAAGAAATTTTAAACTAAAATTTGAAGAATTTTTTTTTTTTAATTTTTGCCCCAACTGTACACGTACGCGAGGTTTTTCCCGCCATACTTTTCCTGCCCATTTTGTAGGTTTTCTATTTTGGTATTTTTATCGTTTTCTTTCATTATCTCTACTCCTTCATGAAAATGAAGGCCTACACTGTTTGTGCTAGAGCTCAGGCATCTATTTTTATGGTCTTCTGGTCATTCAGTCAAAAAAAAATTGTCAAATCGTTGAAGAAGTCTGAACGATGACCGAACAAGTGGTCAAAAGTGAAGACCATACAAGACAAAGCAAGGAGTGCATGGCCGTTTTTTATACAAACTGTGTAAGAAATATTATCGAAAATGCTGTAGGTATTTGCTTAATTATTCCACAAAACAGAAAGGTAAAAAATTTCAACTTCACATTATCGATCAAAGTTTCGAGCACGACGGTATGGGGATAAGTTACCAAAAAATGTTGGAAAGCCTTGAAGAGGAAAGGCGATGCACACTTCATGCAAGCATGGTGTCAGAAGGATTTGCCAACTTTATACCAAAGGAGGACTGGACGGCAAACTTATGTGATGTGAACCCCCTAGAGACCATCTGGATTATCGTAGACGAGACAACATATAAAGATCCAGCCCCCAAAACACTGGAGGAGCTAAGACAGTGACTACGCTTCGCCTGGAAGAATGTGACTTTGGACACGTCTTGGGAGCTCGTACATTCTATACCTCACCGCTTCGAAAATGTCAGAAAACATACAGGAAGACATTATGGTCACTAATATTTTAGTTATTCAATGTTAAATAAATAATGAATAACACACTAAGTTTTACAAGAGGTTTTTTTTAATAATTAGTGAAATTTAAGCGAATAAAAAATCGGAACGAACTTTTGAAACACCCTGTAGAGCTGTTTTTGCGGCGAGCGCGCTACTTTTCATCTTTCTGGTGGCTTTTCACTTCTGGTCTTCTCGATTTCTTCGTTTACTGTCCGTCTCCAGCTAGACCACGTTCTATCTTCCTAATTGTTTGGGTCAAATTCGCAAGCTTTGAGGTCACCTGCAAGCGTCCATGAACCGCAGAGTCGCAGAGTGGGGCGCCCCTTCCTGACTACTGTTGTCTATAGTCCGTATAGAACTTCCTTGGGACGCGTCCATCATCCATGTAATACACATGGCCGAGTCTTCTCAGGTGGCAATGACTGAAGAGGGGGTGTATACTGAGGATACCAGCACGTGAAAGTACTTTACTGTTGGTGATATGGTCTCTGCCACTTGTTAGTGCCAAAGACGCCTATACTGTTTCGTGTAGGTGGTCCAAGTTAGACTGCCGTGGAACAGCGTAGAAGTGCATTTTGGTGTTCTCAGTCAGGTACCGTAAAATTCCGAAAATAAGCCCCTCCATATATACATGTAAGCACCTCCGCATTTAAGACCCACGGGGGCTTGTACTTGGAAATTGCCCTCATATACAAAGTAAAACAAAGAAAAAACGGTACATTTGAAAAATATAAGCCCCGGGGCTTGTTTTCGGAACTTTACGGTATTTGTTTTCCCAGGCTTCCTTGTTCAATTTGGACATGATGCCGATGGCTTTGACGATTCCTCAGGAGATTTCTGAGCAAAGTCACTGTTTTTGACGCTAACAAAATACCTCCCTCTTTGCCGAAGGAAACTAATTCCTAAACGATTCTGATAGCGCAGTGCCATCGAGTCCGCAGTCAGAGTTAACATCACCTGTTCAAAAACCGCTTGGCATGATGCAGGAGACTGATGATCCCTTTCGAGGCCAAAAACCAATCGAACTCTTGCCTGTGTTCATTAACAACACCGGCAACTGGTCAATCTTTTAAGCTCCTGGCGTTCCTAAGCATCAGTTTCTACTGTGAAGTGCGACAAGACCGGGCAACCACCTGCAGCTTGCCGTTTGTGCACCCAACCGGCTTACTTCTAAGCAATTACCGTAAAATTCCGAAAAAAAGCCCCTCCATGTAGAAGCCCCTCCAAATATAAGCCCCCCAAACTCGTAACGCAAAAAAGCCTTCCAACTGTAAGGCTAGCCCAATCGATTTTGAAACGCAAATTTCCCTCCCTAGATAAACCCCTCCGAATATAAGCCCCTCCAAAAATAAGCCCCTCAAAAGGGGCCTTTGAAAAGTGTAAGCCCCGGGGCTTATTTTCCGATTTTACGGTATTATAAATACCTGCTGATAAGATTGAGCGTTCAATCGCTACCACGTTCACCAAATCAGTCAACGTTCAACGCTAACTGATTTGGTGAACGTGGTAGCAAAAAAATCGCCTCTATCGACAAGACGTTCGAATCTTCGCCGAAGAACCGACTGAGTAAAGAGCAAGGTGATGAACCAAAAGGGGAAGATTTTCGGACCACTCAGTTTCTTCCGAAAGCCAGCTCAGATACTCTACAGAATTTAATTGGCCTTAAAGGGGTTCAGTATATCAACTAATCAAAATCCTGGGGGTGTCGCAATGAAGCCCGACCTGGTCACTAGGTATGAAGGTTGGTAATCCCTAAAAATAAGTGGTTGACATAAGGAACGGGTTTGTTAAATACTCTAAGTATTAAATATCAGATTCACAGGAAGTTTTAACTTGCTTGTGTAAACTAGGAGTTTGTTGACTGTGGAGGCCACATTTTGTGTTCATGCTCTCTAGTAACTAGTAATCTCCATGCCGCTTTACAAAAACTTTCTTTTGGAAAATTAAACGCTGTTTTCTCGGACCCAAAAGCACCTAATCAGTGTTGTGGTTTAGCTTTTCATCGTTCTTAAGGGTAGCGTTTTAACTGTGTATTTTCGCACTAAACAATCTCCTTTGGTCATATACTATCTTTGCAGAAAAGAGTGAACAGATTTACCTCCTGTAAATCTGATCACTCTTTTCTGCAAAGATAGCATTCTTCTTGGAAACCGAAACCTGAGGAGTGAATAATATCTGTTAATGTTATTTATTTTTAATAAAACAAAAACAAAGCAAAGCAAAAAAAAATTGAAAACAAAAAAATAATAAAATTGAATAAAATGAAGTTTTAAGCGTTCTCTTTTTTGGCTTTTTTTTGGACTTCTGCTATTGATAAGAAGAGAGTCGTAAGAAAAAAAATTAAAACACAAAAAAACGATAACTTTGGAGTAGGGGCAGGGGGAGAGCTAAAACGCGTTCTCTTTATTTAGCTTTCATTTATTTATGCCGCTCAGCCTGAAAACAATAGAGATGCAGATTAAAGGGGACCAGTGAAATAAGAGGTTTAGAACGGTGCAGGTCTACTGAAATATTGTCCCACACAAAGAACTCTGACAAAATAATTCAGTCGTATTTGAGTAATGATCCGGGTAAGACGGAAAGCATTGTTATGGCGCAATACTCTTTCCTCTTATAGCAATGTTGTTATTTTCACAGAGAATGCCTAAACTTATTTCGGAAACGGGCAGTTTACGAAATAAAATGTATTTTAACTCCATTTTAAACATGTAAAAGTGTAAAGTTTTCTTGGCTGTTTGCAACTCTTATGGTTGGCCGAAGTCTTTTACACTTTTTAATACTCCTCACATATAGGATTACTGTTACTTAGACTCAGACAAGATTTTGCTTTGCGAAGATTTCGTAAAATCAGCTGTTTAAACCTATCAGAAGTGCAGTAGAGATAATAGTTAAATTAGCACCTTTTTGCATTCCGACGTGTTCACTGTGTTTGGTTCTTTTCTTATCAGGACCATTACTTGAAGAAACTTCAACTGGATCCTATTATGTCTAACAGGCCTAGCAGGAAGTTCCGTCTGTCAGTTAGAGAACACTGAACAACACACGGCCGGATCCTGTAGCTTGCAATGAACATCTACAAGATACTTGGCCGAAGACAAGACGGGTGAAATTGTTAACTCAAAACGTTTCCCTGAATCTTGTCTCGAGTGTTCGGCAGGCTTTGAGCCAAAGTTAATTCCTAGGTCTTCCTCTAACTCTCTGACAGGCAGGCCCATCATAATGAAAGTGAGACCGTTTCATTCAGCATCACCAACAGGCCATTACCGAGTTCCCCCGTGCCTCTGCTTCAAAACGAGGTTAAGTGCTCAGCCTTTGATATGGAAATGATTTTTCATTCTCATGCAAATAAAACTCATTTTCACAAGAAAGGTTGTGCACCTAGCCTCATTTTGAAAGTGAGGGTTTTTGAACTTGGGGAGTGGCCTATTAGGGACCTTTGGATAAGACCTCGAGCACGAAATTGATCACCAGTACGATTTTTCAAACCGAGTTCGCGAGCTTTCATTGATATATCTACTGGTTAGCAGCAGGAAAGATTAATAGTTCTAAGGAACTAGCTCGAAACTCTAAAGACGTACTCGTACTCAATCTCGTACTCATAGTAAAAATCTTAAGGTCACTATATAGCTAACACATTAAGGACAAAAACATTGCCCCTAACTCCTGACACCGATAACGCTGGTACAGGTTCAAGTGAACAATAAAAATGGAGGTCTACTGCAGCAGAATTCCCAGCCTCTTTTTCATTTTTTTATTTTTCTAAGTTTTTAAATCCTCACGCAAATAAAACTTATTTTCACAAGAAAAGTTTGGCATTTAGCCTTGTGAGAGTTTTTGGAACTCGGAAGTGGCCCTTTGCTACACTGTATTTACACTAAATCTACCCACGTATACGGACGTTTAAATGAACGCATAGAATTTAGTTTTTGTGGACTAATTTAGTCTATTTATTAATCTATTTTCAGGAAAAATTATTGATTCACAAGATAAATATTACAGATATCTTAACCCATTTATTACTAGACTACCAGAATCCAACTTTTAAATTTATGGACGTACTCCTATGATGTTACCATTCAAATGAAACCACTTTGGCTGACTTTTTGCACAGCATATTAATTTCATAAGGAATTTTATAAAACCACCATTATGAATTAAAGGGTTAAACTGAGATACATTAAAAAGTTTCCTATAAAATCTAGTTAATATTACGACGATTGCATAGGCACAAGCAGCATACGCAGATTACTGCCTTTTTTGATAACAAATGGTAAGCGAGAAATTTCACTTCAAGACGGGAAAATAGTAAAGCAAATTCGTGTATATAAATTGTGTAAATGCGTTCGACGTAAAGAAACAGTAGCCTGCGTGCACACGTCTCCGCTAAGAAATAGGGACCCACCCGGATTACGATTTAAAACCAGGTTAGCAATATTCAGCCTCGGAGCATGTACGCGCATTATTGGCATATGTAGTTCCACCAAAGGAAAATGTAGGCCCATCAGTGGAACATTGTAGGCCCATCAATGGAACATGTAGGCCCATTATTGGCACACTATTTCAGCTGCGTATGTTGATTAGCCAGGTTTTTTTTATCTTCCAAGCAAACCCCGTAGTTGGACGCATTTTTTTCCAAGAGTCAAACTGCCGCTTCACAAGAACACTTTTCCCGGATTCATAATCCAGTTAGGGTCCAACAGAGTCTTAATTTCTTTCATTACGTTTAATCCAGTTTCGCCGATCTCTTCAGGAAGGAGCGCTTGCTTGCCGCATCCAATACCATGCTCACCTGTACAGGTACCGCCCAAAGCCAATGCGCGTCTGAAAACAAGAAAATTTACATTCAAGCACTGGCTATTAGAGACCTTTAGATTCTAAAACGAGTACGACTACGAGTACGAGATTTTCTCAAGATTAGGCTGATTTAGCAACAGAACCGGAACGTCAGTTGACGAAGGAAAGCGCGCGGAAAGGACAAATCACTACTTGTGGTGCTCAATTTACCGCTCTGCGATTGGTCAAACCAGTTGTTTGATTTGCGCGCTGTCGTCAATTGACGTTCCCGTTCTGTTGCTAAATCAGCCTATCAAGTGGATTACGCGCGTGAGCCAGCGTAATTTTGGCGGGAAAACGTGGTGGCCGTCGTCATTTCACTACAAGTTTTCGCGCGAATGTCGGTAGCGAAAACAAGATATCAAATGTTAGAAGTTTTATCATTTTGGGATCGGGATAGCACGTAGCCTCCTTCACTAAAGATAACAATGCTAACTTTTCTAGCGAAAAATGGTAAAATGAAGCTTTTCGGGAAATCTATATTTTGGGAAGACGCGGCGAAAAAACCTCAAGTGAAATCTCGTACTCGTAGTCGTCCTCGTCCTCGAATCTAAAGGTCTCTACTATGAGGTGGAACGTGACATCTAGATTGGACCGTTGCTGCTTCGGATTGTACTATGAGACCGTTTTGATGACAATATCGCTTCTTTTTTTCCAAAGCCGCGGAGGAAACTGGGTCAATATTTCCTTCCACCCCCACTCCCCCACCCCTCCCCCCCGACCCCCATAAAAAGTCCCTCAGTTCAATTCACTATTTTTGCCTATCCCATAATACACCTTGTAAGCAACCGCCCCCATCACAAATGAAAAGAGTTTGCACAGCCATTGTTTCCAGTTCCCCCTAGGTATTACAGTGGTCTAGACCTTGAAGCAGCCAATAGGAAGCTAAAGAACGACGACGGCGAAGGCAACGAGAACAGCAATGAACCAATAGGTTTAGATTAGCAAAATAACAATTCGTCGTTGTACGACTACAACGTAAAAATGCCTAATTTCACCTTTCTGTCGAGTATGGGAACACAAACCAACAATTTTCTTTTTCTTTTCCCGAACTTTAAAAAATTTCAAAGAAGTTTGCCAACATTTGACGAATAAAACGAGATGGAATAAGTGCGATAAAGTTTGAGGCAACGCGAATTCACTTTTTAAGAGACGTTTTCGTAGCCGTCGCCATTGTCGTTGCTTAAGCTCCCTAATATCAATGTTTCTATCTTTTTCCTAAGATAACTGTTTGTAGATGACTTCTCGCTGAGCTTCAGCTCCAGACAAACCTAGGACATGAATAAACCCGTCATTAAGAGACCATAAACACTGATCATCAACTCAGGAAACGTTTATTTAAACACTGGAGTTCTCATCTGTAGTCGCACTTGGTTTCCTTAGTGTCGCCCATGAACTTTACATTGCCCCTCACTCACAATGATCACGTCTAATAATTGATGGGAAAGGTCTTATAACCTGCCAAAGATTTTCTGGAAGGAAATGACATGTATGCCCCTGACCACTCATTAGTGATACCCTTGGTTTTGCCTTTGTTCCAAAGGACAGGAGACGCAGCTATCTACACTTGAGTACACAAAGCGTACCTTGCTAGTCTGTCTATAAATTCTTTTCCTTGTCTAATCTCTTCCTAGCATTCAAAATCAAGGGGCAAAACACAGTGAAAGTTCCCATCTCCAACATGCCCGACAATTGGGGCTAAACCAAAAAGAGAAGAAAGACAATTAAACCATGGGAGCCGCCTACCTTCCCAGTCTGAGAGTGAACTCTTTTACAGCGCGGTGCTCTTCCTCGTCGTCCGGTTTTATTGGAATAAAACAATGAAAATTTCCGTCACCTACGTGACCAACAATGGGGGCTGGAAATAAACGTGTATTCTGTTAACCCTTTGGGTCCCAAGAGTGATAAACATCAATTTTCTCCTGACAACATCAGCAGATCATCAAGAGTAAAGGTTATGAGAATTACTAAACTGATTACCAAAGGGAGAATGCTTTGATCTTAAACCAAATTCTCTCAACTATTCTTAATAGAAATGTATGGAGATCAGTCTGGAGAATTTGTATGTGGATCTTGGGGCTTAAGGGGTTAACCACCAATCGCTGTAAGCGAAGTATAGTTCTTGAGGACAACATTCATTAAGTTTAAGTGAAAATGAATAAAAACGCGTGGACAAGCCCTACTTTAACCTCGGCGAAAATCTACTAGATGTCTGATCCCAAACCCTTGCGTTCGCTATGCAGTGATGGCAAAACATTTTCTTGCAAAAGTGCGTAACATAAATTGTGAAAATTTCCCCAAACCGCCACATGTTGTTTACAGATGACAACCGCTCCACGGACAATTGCTCAATTTCGTGGCGATCAAACTAAACAGTGAAAAAAAGTGATCTAATGCAAAGGAAGGACAAACCACAGATTGTAATGATTGCCGGAATAACAGATTGAGATCGAGATCGTACGACCACAGGCACATTTGATTTATCTTATCAAAATCATTTTGCGAAGGCATCACACCGGTAAGAGTGAAAGATTTACTACTTGGCATCTGATTGATTTGTTTTCCTTTCCCTTTTGTTTTGTTTCTTTCTCATAGCTTCACAAACTTACCTACTAAGTTATGAGCCACGATATCTTCTTTAGTTTCCACGATGATTTCTGGAAGTTTTGAAATCGGGACACAAACGTCTGTGGACACGCCCTAAAATGGTTCACAGGATCAAGATTAATCATTGACACACGCATGCAAATCAGCCCACGAAACGCTACAGATAGCTACACGGGTACGAAACAGTTAATGTTTGTAAGAGCATACAAAATTATTTGTTTATGGCTTTCCTCACAAGTACGAGGCCATTTAAGTTTGTAAAAGTTTACAAACGTATGTTTTTATGGGATCTCCTCACAATACCGTTTACTACCCGTTGATGACCTTACCCGCTTTGGGAGCCTAATAACGGAAATGCTCGTTTATGAGCTCCGTTTTTTTTTTTTTTTTTGCCCAGAAAAGAAAAGGGGGGGGTTGGGTTTATTTATTTTTCATTTTTTTTTAATGAACAATTTATAAAGGAAAAACTATAAATAAAAATCTTAAAAATAAAAAATAAAAATATTGTTGTGGGAGGTCAGCGGGAAATATTTTTATTTTCTTTTTTGTTTCATTATATACTTTCCACTTTATTTTTATATTACAAAACTAAATACATACGCTTCAATGCTGAAAAAAGGTACAAAGGATTTAAGTTTATGGTACGTAAAGAAATTCTAGTGTAGTTAGTATTATATTCTGTGGCGTATATTGTATATTATTTATGTAATAAGCTCTTAATGGCTATTTTTTTTTTTTTTTTTTTTTTGCCACGAAAGATAAGTGCGAGGTCATGGTTAACTAACTTTCACATTCATTTCAATGACACATTGCATATGGAAAACTGTAGATAGAAAGCTCTAAATAGTAAAATGTAAATAATTGCGTGCGAAGTCAGCCGGGTAAATGTTTTTAGTCTCTTTTCGTTACTACTATATACTGACCGTTTTAGTTATATTATACACGACCACATCCGTTACGCTGTAAAATTGTCGTGTTTAAATAAAAAGTTATTGGTGGTGTTGTCGTTCTGCTCCCGGTTGTTCAAACGCTGGATAGCGCAATCCACCGGATAAGTATTAGAGAAACCAATTGAGTTATGCTTTGGATAGAGATTTATTCGATGGATAGCGTTATTCATCTTTCGAACAACTGGGGCCTGAACTGTCACTTTTACTAAAACTAGTACAAACAAGATATAATACTGATAAACATAGATGAACTGTAACTACGGAGGGAGACTTAAAAGCGGGAAGGGGATTATAACTGGAATATGGGCTTAAAACCAGGATTTTAGCGTAGCGGGCTTGGTTCGATCAATTAAGTTCACGATTAAATGGGTCTTTCTGCAGGTACCGTCAACACAAAAGAAACGAAGGAAACAAACAATAGAGCTCTCCTGGGCCGAGTTGTTCAAAGCTGGGTTAAGATAACCCAGGGTTAGTGCGAGATTTGAATTTAGATTTGAAAGCTTAAAAAGCATTTCAGTTTTAAGGTTTTTTTCTACAAGTTCATGATTAGAAGCTCTAAAAATATCAAAGAAAATTATCAGAGAAAATGCTTTTGAACACAAGAAAAAGAAACCTGGGTTAAATTAACCCGGGTTAAGTGCTAATCGGCCTTCGAACAACTGGGCCCTGGTGGTTTTATTGTTTGGTTGTATTGTTTCCTTTGTTGAACGTAATCTGTGCCTCGATACCTAAAGAAGGAACCCTGACCTTACAGTGGTCAGTGAGGAACATTAGAATTGGAAAGGCAGAATGAAAATCACATTTCCGTGTCATTTACCTTGCATCCAGGTCTTAGCGCCATATCAGCATACCAGGCATTGTGTCTCGCTTTCCACAGCTTGTTTCGTTCTTCCAGTTCAGTGGCCCACTTGAATTTAGAACCACCATTACTTTCAATAACCTCCCCTGAAAAAGTGCAGGTAAAGATCATCATGTTTTAACCATTTCACTGCCAAATTTAGCCAAAGGCAAATTTCGACAAAGTTTGCAAATTTCCTTTTGTAAAGTTTTAAAAAGCAAATAGCACTATGTAAAAGTACAGACAGAGAGCTTTCATTTGAATGGTCATATCATAGGATTTCGTCCACGGACTCAAAAGCCATCTTACAAAAACTCTATCAAACACTCTGGCAGTGAAAGGGTTAAGTTATTTTCATTCACACCTGACTGCAGGAAACTGGGTGAAAATAGACCCCTCCAGGGTTGCCTGTCCACATACGTTGTTTTATTTTTCTTTCCGTTCTTTGCGCTGGCGGTCAATAAATCCGCCACGGTTTTTGTTTTTTATCACATGCACTCGATGGACTTAGAAGAGAACATACAGGGTCTGTGGAAAGGTTACTTTCACGGTTTTTTTTTTTCAGCTTTTGTTTCAGACTAGTTAAGCAAATATCAACTGATACCGCTGGAAAGAGCGCCTTAAATTTGGGGAACGTACCACCTCTAAAGGAGATAAGTTAAAAGCGAGCGAATATATCAGGAAGTGTACACAACAGGACAGAAGGAAAAATTGCGGTCACGCTTGTCACGAAAGGTTTGCCGCCTTCTTTCCTTTCCCATTCTGTTGCGTAAGTTTACTATTGCTACACAAAGCTGCGTAATTTTACAGTCGTTTGTAAAAACGTCTGTAATATTCGGCGGAGCTATACAGTGAAATTAAAGTGCGACCAACCCAACCTTGACTAGGAGTAGTCTACTGTCTTTCACTTTTCATTAGAGATAGTTTAGCGAGTGAAATGCTGGTGCGCGAGCGCGCATGAACCAGAAGCATTTTCACGCGCTCTACTATCCCAGACGAAATGGAGGGTCTACTGGTAGTCTAACTCCAACCCTGTCTAACGTAAAGCTTCAAATGGCCGAAAAGGTAGAGCATTAACAGTAACATTTGTAGCTCACCTGCAACAGCGGCTTGTTCCTTGACACTGTTTTCTGATCCTTGGAACTCCAGGAAAAGGGTTGGTGTCACAGGGTAATCCAGGCCAGAAAACTTGTTACAGGCATCAATCTGAACATCATCTAGGAACTCTGCAGAGAAAAGTTACAACACTAGGTTAATAATGCGCAAATGTTCATACTTATGACTGTTGGCCGATGTAAGGTAATCCGAGACTGTCTTGGATTTTGTTTCTCAGTGGTCCCAAGTTTCAGTCATACTTTTACCGTAAATCCTTTATTAAGCTTCCCTCGCCCCCTTCTCAGGGAAAGAAAGTAACTAATAAGTCCCCCCCCCACCCCTCTCTTTTAAGCCTCCCTCCCCTCCCCCTTATTAATATTCACTGATAAATGATAGACTGTATTAATCAACCACGACTGTAAAACTTCGTGTGGACTGATCCGGGATGGTTTATTCACCAGCTGGAAGTTCGGAATTGTTTTTGATCGTCAGCTGCGTGACCTTCAATTTTTTGTACTTGCCAGCTTTTCCACTTTGCAATTGTGTATAGAGAACTGACTCCAATGTCTTTGGTGAATTAATGAAGCCCCCCTCTCAAATACAGTGTAAGCCCCCCGTCTCTCTTAAGCCGCCCCCAGCCCCCTCCCCCTCAAAAGTGTTTGAAATAAATAAGCCCCCTCAGAGAGCTTAATAGAGGATTTACAGTAAATAGACAACTGACTGCCTCCTGTCAGTAAGGGGTTTTAGTTCTGTTATGTTATTGGTGCATTATTGTTTAAAACTATTTGAGAGGAGTGCTGGAAAACTGGCTATGCTGTAGAGCACCAACACCATAAACAAAGCAGGAATGAATTTTTTTTTTCAGCCAACTACATGTGTACTTACCAATCCTTGCCATGGGCAATCCACACTGGAGGATTTCCACCACAGCATCAACAGCTGACTTAACATCAGGAAACGAAGACACACCAGATGCCGTCTAGGATAAGAAAAAAAAGAAAAGTGGATTAGAAATGGGTGGAAATTACAGGATTATGAAGCCAGTGTTAAGCATATAGATTTTTCTGAGACACACCATTCAGTTGTAGATAAAATGTTTTGACCTGAAATACAATGTCTTCTGATAGAGAGCAAACAAATTACTAATTAGGAAATCATGAATGTAGAACTGTCAAGACATCACATTACACAGCAAAACAAGTCCATTATTAGGCAAATTATGACTGACTTCTACTGGATTTGCAACAACATTAGAAAGTTTCAGAGGCATTTTCCTAGACTTTCTCAAAGCCCTGTTTCTGCTGGCTTGGTGGTCAGTGGGGAAATGACCTATGTTGCTTGCTTTTGCTCACTTCATGAGCATCCCTCATGTCTTCGGCTACAAGAAGGAAATACAAAGTTCTTGCTTTGCATGGCGGTTCTATGAGAATTTACGTGTAGAGCAGTCTTAATTAACAAAATGTAACTATTTCACATGAAAAAACATACCGATTCTGGTATTCCATAGAGCCTTAGAGTCACTTTTGTAATTATACCCAAGGTGCCTTCTGAACCAACAAACAGGTTTGTCAGGTTATATCCTGCGGATGTCTTTCTGTGGAGAAAAAAGTTAGGAAAATGAGGAGTTTGGAGACAATAGTCATAGAAAAGAACTGTAGCTTTAGTATGTGATGAGCAAGAGACAGCTTAAAGGAAAACAAATGACATACATATATTCATGCAAATACATAAAACACATGTACCCATGGGGTACACCTACACTCTCTCCTCACAGATAAACCCGAATGAGATTTTAAGTTTATACCACAGAAAAGCCCTACTGTCTTGAACACTAAAATATGCATACAGTGTATATGTCATTTATTAAAAGAAAATACATTGTATCTGATTTTCACTTAACCTTGTCCGACGGCCTTCACCAGCAGTATTAATAATCCGCCCATCTGGTAAAACAACCTCTAGGTTCATCACATTCTCTCTCATAGTGCCATACCTGTTAAAAGTATAACAGTCATAAGGCAAGGTCGAAAAATTGAAAGATAAACCATACCATATCTTATTTATCAGCATTACAGTTCAAAAAATAAAGAAACAGATACTGATAGATACTATGCATACACAACGGTAAGGCAAGTGTCAGACTTGAAACAATTGTTACAAAATTATTAAGAACAAAGTTGAAAAAAAATCAAATTACCTTACGGCATTTGTGCCAGATGCACTGGTTGATGCCATTCCACCTAAACTGGCATCCGCACCTGGATCTGTAATTGATTCAATATCAAAAATTAATAATTATAAAATTATATAAGGAGGCAATTCATTGTCAACTCTTAGATATCTTGTTGCCGGAGGATGATTATGTTGACACTCTCACTTTTACCTCAAAATTTAAACAGCTTTGACATGACTACATAATCCTGTTTAATTGTAACATAAAATTTGAATTTTTTTCCTTTTTTTTCTTTCAATCATCTGTAATTACAAGTAATTTTATGTGCAAATGTATTCAATATAAATATATATAAAAGCGATATATATTTTCTTCTGTGCAACTGCACCTGACCTGCCTTGATTAGTGTTTCTGCTACTATGTGCAGTGGCAAGAACTACCAGTTATATCAATGTGAAGAACAAACTAACACATCTCTGAATTTCAAAAGTTTTATAAATATAATGGTACTCTCAGCTATGTCATAATATACAGCTATCCTCCTAATTTAATCTGTACATTTGTTGTTTTGTACCCTCCTCCATTTTATCTTGTGATATTGAGCAGATGTACATGTACAGGTCCCTTTTTATTAGCCCTACTTGGAAATTTAGTATTTTAATCAGTGAAAAAACAAATAAAATAAAACTAAACTTGAGCTGAAATGATCACATACCAACTGGGAACCACAATCCTGAGTCTTTGGCATAATTATTGAGTTGATTTCTAGTGACACCAGCCTGCACTGTCACATCAAAATCTTCTGGATTGAATTCAACTATCTCATTCATTTTTGTAATATCTACACTGACACCACCCTAAAAAAATGGAATACCAAACATGTACATTACACATGACACAATATTATGAAAAGGTTTCAGCCACCCTCAGGGTAATGGCTGCAAGCACAGTTCCCACTTGATGGAGATTGGCTGCTTAATGGAGGATTGCCAGAAATTGGTATAATCTTAAACAGAAACCTAAGTTTCATTTTTCTTTTGCCAAGTATCACTTTAGAAATCACATTAATAAACTGAGTAGAACTACAGTATTGAGCACACAAAAGATCAAAATCTCCACAAATCGTTGAGATAAGGTTCTCATCCTAATTCAACTTAATTCGAAAAATGCTATTAACTATGCCAAATATAGTTCATATAGTATCCAGGGAATATTGCCAGCTCCCAGCCCTAATGACAGCTACATTCTAGGAGCATAATCAGTTGTAATCATCTACACTGTATTTCAGACTGTATTGTCAGGCCCCAGTTGTTAAAAAGGTGGAGAACACTATCCACCGGATAAATCACTATTCACTGGATAAAGCAATATTGGTTTCCCTAGCACTTATCCATTGGATGGTGATTTATCGGGTGGATAGTGCTATCCAGTTTTTGAACAACTGCGGCCGGGCCCCAGTTGTTTGAAAAGTAAATAGTGCTATCCACTGGATAAGTTACTCTCCACTGTTTAGCGCAATTGGTTATCGTAATACACTTATCCTCTGGATAGCGATTTATCCAGTGGATAGCACTATCCAACTTTTGAACAACTGCGGCCGGATCTTTATTGTCTCCAACACTTACTGGTCACTTAATAAAGTTGAAGGTAGATGCAGTCAGTTGATAAAGGTGGCTGCTAACAGCAAAGAGGATATATTTACATTTTTCTACTCTACTGCTTTACTCAAGCAAATCCAGTTTCAGGATGCAAAAATGGGGTCTCGAAATGCAAAGTTCTAGAAATATCAAGATGACCAGATAAAGGTCAAGCTTCATAGAGTAAGAAACAAAAAAGGAAACAACAAAGGCTACTTTCACTCACAATTACTTTTGGAAATCCACTCTTATAAGATAAGAGAGTACTCTTCTCTGACACGCAGAGGAGTGGAAGTTTTTTGCCCTGCTCAGATTGCGTTAAGTCTAACAGTAACAACTTCAATCTTGCTATCTTAAAGTTACAAAATCTTGCAGTGTTATTCAAGATCTTGTAACATGGTAAGTTTTCTACCTACGTGCCGAGTGATTAAAGGAGCCTGCATTCACCTTTTTAGCTACAACACCTCCTTCCAGTCCAGTCCCAGATCCAAATGGAATCAGTGGAATACAATGATCATTACAAAGTTTTGCCACTTCACTGACTTGTTCCTTGTTTTCTGGCCAAACAACAAGATCAGCTGGATGACACTTGTGATGAGATTCATCTTTTCCATGTTGTTCTCTTACAACCATGGCAGATGACACATTTTTTTCTCCAACTATTTCTTGAAATGCTTTCTTGATGCTGTCATCAACTGCTGAATAGGAGGCCTGCCAGAGAAAAAATAATACTTCATCTTTTTAAAAAGATAATTACACAAAATAAACAAATGCCAGACATTTGATTAACAGCCTACCTTTGCTACACAGCAGCTCGTATTCTAACTACTATACAGGTACTACTTAAGGTGCACGAGCATCTACCTTACACTTTAACCTTTGTCACCATTTAAGAAGATACATTTATGATTCAATTCACAGCTCAACTCACCCTAACTTTCAATTATTATTCGACACAGAAGCATCTTGTTGACTTACATCTAACCCCCAAATAAGGCCCATTTCAAACGTTGCGCTACTGCCGTGTCGATCACAAATAAATTTGACCTGGCAGTTGCATGGCAATAGCATGGGAGTGGTTTCAAATGTAGCATTCACTTCAGTCGCCCCAATTTCAAAATAAAGAAAACATCACAGTCAGGCACAGTAGAGTCAAAACATTTAAACACATACATTTTCATGATTTATGAATTGAGTTTGGCACGGCAATAGCATGGTGTTTGAAACCAAGCCATGCCACTGCCGTGTAGCGTGGCAGACCATGTCGAATTTAATTGCCGTGTCAAACTAAATTCAAGTTACCAAACTGAATGATTTCAAACGTTGCGCCACTGTCGTGCCAAATTCTATCAGTTGAGTGTAGGCACAAATTTTATTATTTATTTATTATTTTCCAAGTACTTGCTCTCCATCTATACGAAGATTCTCAGCAAGAGGTCAGCAGCCTCACTAATGGTAATAATTAATAATGACAGTAAAATAACAATAATCAAAACACGTCCACATGGGCTCGGAAAGAGTTTATCAGGGGTAGGCTGTTCCAGTCCCTAATGGTATTAGGGAAAAAAAGAGTAAAAGTGATAGTTTGTTTCTGATGCCGGGACTTTATAGGAGAGTCTGTGCATATGCCTACTGGATTGGCTGGCTGGCTCGAGTTATTTCTGTTGGTCCATTGCAGCTAAGTTACAGTGCATTTTGTACAGCATTGTTAGTCTAGCTTTCTTTCTACGTAGTTCTCAAGTTTCCCAATCAAGTTGTTTCAACATTTCGGTGACACTTCCAGACCTTTGGTAACTTGGACATAACGTGCTGCTCTACATTGCACCATTTCTACTCTATCCCTATCTTGTTTGGTATATGGGTCCCAAACAGTTGAGGCGTATTCCACAGTGGGCTGGACTAAGCTCTTGTAGGCGATTGATTTCACGGCTGGAGAGTTAATTCTGAGATTTCTTCTTAGGAAGCCTAGAGTCTGGTTTCCTTTAGTTGCAACGTTCGAGATATGTTGATCCCATCTTAGATCCAATGTTTTTGTTACTCCTAAATAGTTTACAGAGTCAACCATTTCCAGTATTTTACCATGAAGGGTGTATTCATGGTTAAGTGGCTCCCATTTGCAGGACACACACAGGAGCTGGCATTTGTTTATATTGAATTCCATGAGCCACTTGTTCTCCCAGTTTTCAAGTTCGTGTAGATCCTTCTGCAGAGAGTTTTTATCACTTTGCAACTTCACAGCTAGGTATAGCAGGGTGTCATCAGCAAACACATGAACTGCAAAGGCAAGGTTATCTGGTAGATCATTAACGTAGAACAAGAAAAGACATGGGCCCAATAGAGAGCCTTGAGCGACACCAGATTACACTTGAGCAATGACTGAAAACTTTCCTTTAATGACAACTTGCCGTGTTCTGTTAGCTAGGAAAGACTGTGTGCAATCCCTCGTTTTGTTCCGTAAACTGTAGAAGTCTGGCTTCTTTATCAAGTATTGGTGGCCCACCTTATCAAAAGCTTTCAAAAAGTCCATAAACAAGACATCCGTTTGCCCCCAACCCTGAATATTACATGCAAGGTCATGAACAAATTCCAACAACTGTGTATCACAAGACCTCTTTTCTCTGAAGCCATCACTGCAGATGGTACAGGAGATCGCGCCATTTGCATGTTTCATCATATTACTGACAAGAATATGCTCCATGATCTTGCAGGCAATACATGTCAGTGATATTGACCTATAGTTTCCAGCCTCTGACCTTCTCCCTTTCTTGAAGACTGGAGTCACATAAGTCTTTTTCCAGTCACTGTTACCTGGGCTGTGTCATATGATCTTCTGTAAATCAGAGTCAGTATAGGAACTACATGTATAATGTGAGACAGTTCCCTCAATACCCTAGGTCTAATCTGATCTGGGCCAGCAGCTTTATGTACCTTCAGTTCATGTAGTAGTTTCAAGACTCCTGGTTCTGATATTAGAATATCAGGCATGCTTGGGAAGGGAGAGATAGATGGAAACAAGTCATGTGACAGACTGGAAGAATATTAGCTACTTGATCTGGTGCAGATATTTTACTTCCTGTTTCATCAATTAACAAGCTGATCCCCGAAATGTCAGATCGACAGTGCTTGATGAAGGTCCAAAATCTTTTTAATCCTGGCTGTTTCTTACTCTCCTTGCCAATGGCGGTTATGATAGACTCCATATACCTCCAGAAAGCTTGCCGCATTTCTCTTTCAATATCTTTCTTAAACCACTTAATCCTCTTTGTGATCTTGCTTGGATCAACAACTCCTAGGGCCCTTGCAAAGCCCTTACATTTGATTGACAACCTATTCCGTTTTTTAATCACCTTCTTAATCTTGGGTGTAATCCAAGGTACGTTGTCTTTTGGCTTGCTGAATTTGTGTGGTATGTGCCTATCAATTCCTTTGCTAATCGAAGCGTTAAGTTTCTCCCAGAGTTCATTTGTTGTTAAGTTCTTCCTATTCTTCCTATTCTTATATGTCCTATCACTGATATTATCTGAGATTTTATTTCCTGAGTCTCTTTACTGCTGCCGATTATCTGAACATGTCCAACATGAAAGCTCTTGCTACTTTGGACACTGTACACAAATGAACTTAATGTCTGTTAGTTAATTATTATTTATCTACTGCTGCCGATTATCTGAACATGTCCAACATGAAAGCTCTTGCTACTTTGGACACTGTACACAAATGAACTTAATGTCTGTTAGTTAATTATTATTTATCAGCTACTTTATTTTCCTACCTACGTACACCAGTCCCACCCTGGGATTTCTGAATTTCATCCAAGTGCTTCAAGTCATTTTCTCCTCTCAGCAACGTCTGAATCGACCAGCCATTAATGCCATCCAGTGACGTCGCTACTACCCGAAACCGGGTAGTGATTTTGATTGGTTGATTGTCTAAACATTTGCATAATCATGTATAATTACGAGAAATTTTAGCGGGATTGTCGCTTAATATTCAGCAGATCGCATCGGTGACATGCTTGCATGGAGTTCAAACATTTTGATAATCTTTTATCGTAAAGAGCAAAATTGCCCTTATCTTCGAAACTGAATTGCTAAATTGAATTACGAATGAAGAATCATTGCGTAGAGTAGGTAGGTTTTTCATTTAGAGCTGCTTTGTAGCTTCCGCAGTGATTTTAATTTGTTCATGCGAAGTTTCTGAGACCAAAGTCATGCTGTCATTCGACCTTCATGGTTTTACCGTCAAGTGTAATGACTCAGTTAGCTTTTCTTTCTTGATTCCTTGTTTTCTTTATTCATTGTTAAGGACCAAATAGCTTCTTTTCAATTAAAGGAAATTGTTGTGTTTTTAAACTAAGCGTTCCGTGTGTGTATTTATTTCATTAGGTGATTGTGACCGAGTTTGAATTACAAACGGTTCAGAGTACTGCATGCAGTTGATAGTTTGGGGAAAGTTTTAAAAACATGAATTACAATCGAAAAAAGCAAGGCAATTCTGTCAGCTGTTCTGTATCATGTAGACATTTCCAAATGATATTTCTTGGTTTGCCACTTGAAAATCGTGTTTTACTTTTTACATGAATTAAAGCAAAGGAGTAGTGGCGTCACTGCACAGCATTTACGGCCGGTCAATTCAAGCGTTACTGAGGGAGTAATAATGACTCTACGTAATCGGATGAAATTCAGACTAAACCTGGGAGGTTGAAATCACCGCCTAGTAATACATGATGGTGATCTTTTATAAAGACAGTGACCTTTCAAGCTCTAACAAGAATTATTCATCATCTTCATGCAGTCTACAATAAGCACCCAGATAAATGGTTTTGCAGCCATCTAGTTGAACACTGCACCTTAAGATTTCACAATCTGTTTCCATATCATTCTCCCTGGTGACAGCAAGATCTTTCTTATGAGCAATCAGAACACCATCGTGTGGCGACGGTGTGGGTCTGCCCCCTGTCTCTTCTTTCTATTTGGTACGAGCTGGAAAATAATATCTCAGTACAGCTATGGGCAGAAGATAACCAAGTTTCGGTACCAATAATTATGTCAGGAGCACGACGTTCGAAACAGGCATAACTTGCAACAACAACAACAACAACAACAACAAGCTTTATTTAAGCTTTATAAGCTCATTTTACTTGTTGTTACAATAAAACATAAGAGTCTACGTTGTACTTTATGTTAACCAAATAAGTAGAGCAGCATTTTCACAATGCTACAGTGTAGCCATAGTAGACTGAGCAAATAAACTTGAAGCTATAAAAGCTTACCTCGGATTGCTGAGCCAAAACAGACTTCCATCGAACAAATGAACACGATGAAATGAAGAGCCTGCGATCAATCATCCGACTGACTGGACGAATAGAATATCGAACAAAAGACGCCATAACGTATTTGCCCTGTTAATGAGGATGAAGTTTGGCGAAGAGAATTGATCCTTTTTACGAAACGAGCATCCTACATTGTGCAAGCATCCGCCATCATTGTGTTGTTGGCCGTGCGTCACGGTCCAGAGTCTCGTGACGCATTTGGCAAGTCGTTCCCAGGTCCCAACAATGGTGCGCACTCTGAAACGACGACACGACACATTTCGCGCATGTCCTTGCGAAAGTGGAGAGTTTTTAAAGCTCCGCACGGCAAATGGCAAACGTCAGAATCGATCTGAATGTTTCTCAAAATAGAAAATGAGCAGATAAAAACAGCTCAGAAAATTCTTATGGATAAAAAAATTGCATGAAACTACTAATTTAACTAATGTATGTCATAGCATAGGCTCGCATAGGCTCCTATGTATCTAAAGAGTCTACCTGTAGAAATAATGAACAGTAGGGGACAAGCAAAGGGGAAACTTGGTCACGTGGTATAAATTTGCCTTTGCCGTTTGACGTAAACGTGCTGCTTAACCTCTCCGGGATCTATCCGCACATTCGTCAAGCCCGTAAAACTGAAATGTCAAAGATTGAAGTAGGACTGAATATTTGATGATCAGTTAACTGAGATGAAGAGACAATGAGAGCAATAGAAGGAGCCAGAAGGTTAGATTTCATAGTTTATGCCTAAGACAACAACAATAAACGGCTTAGGCATAAAGGATAAACCAGTAGACACCATTATTATAATCGCCATTAATATTATTATTATTATTATTATTAATATTATTATTATTATTATCATTATTATTATTATTATTAATTATCATTATTATTATTGTTGTTGTTATTATTATGAGAAGGTGGGCTGTAGAAAGGAGAGTTATTTTCTGGAGTTCATGAATGTTAATGTTGCTAAGGGATTTTGTTATTGTGTGAACAACGAAAATGTACTTGAATCTGATTGGTTCTTAACAGCCCATGTTATAGCTTAATTTTGCTATTGTAACTCCAAAACTATCCGATTTGATCTGTCCGATTACCAGAAGCTTGTAATCAGACAGGTATCGGAAAAATAGTGGACTGTGAACAGTGTACCTCAAATCCAACCAACCAAAGATTTTTTGTCAAATTCTTGTAACGTCAAAACCATGAGTCACCCCATGCAAGGGAATCCGGATTCCCAAATCCGGGAAATTTTTGCCTGGGGAATAAGGAATTCGGGGAATTTTTCTTGTGGAATCCAGAACCCATAGCTTTGGAATCCGATGTACAGTTCAAGAGATCTGGAATCCCACTAACGACTGGAATCCTTAATCGAAGTTTTACTGACAAAAATCCGGATAACCCATGGGGTGAATTCCAGAATCCAGGACTGTCCTGGATTTATTTGGGACGGACCATTAGAAAAGTGATGGGGTGGGGAAAAGGGTGGGGAAAAACCAAAAAAAAAAATTCATGCAAGGGAAAATGCCAAGAAAAAAAATTCATGCAGAAGGAAGGTCCAATTGTGATTTTTTCAGAAAGTCTGAGTTTCAGAAATCAACAATATTACCAGGCACAATATGAATAAACAAAAATCGCTCTCTTCTCATTGGATGTGCACAAAGACCAGAAGGACATTTCAGGGAGGTGCAAAATGTATCCCACCATTCCTTATAATGTCAGTAGACATCTTCGCCCGTCAGGGCATTTTGACAGAATACAGCCAGCTACCAGACTATGTGGAACTCTCACACGAAAGGTGAGTTTTACTTTTACTAAAATGTAGCCTAAGTTCATTTAAGTTATTACAGAGCACCATAAAAATTAAATAACTTTTAACAATCAATTTAATATTTCACTTTTACTAAACAGGTACCTTCTTTTTGGATTGACATTTTGGCGTGGAGGGCACTACAGAGGGGCTGTTTTGGTGAATGGAGTATGGCATCATTATGGTGGGCTGTGGGAGAGGAATTCCAGAGGGCAGGGACTGAAAAAATGCACATGGAAGCCTTCCACTCCAAGTGGCTTCCTCCTCTCTTACTGTGTGTACATTTTCTGAAAGATTTTGCATTAAAGTGGCCTGTATCCTTTGACCTGTTGCTAGTGTAGAATAATTTATAAGCCCAAAAACATAGATAAGACCCTCAGATAATGAATCAAGATTTCACTGTTCAAAAAAAAGCAATATTTGTCTGAAAAAAAAAATTCGTGCAGAGGGGTTCACCTGAAAAAAAAATTCCTGCACAAGCAGTGATCGAAAAAAAAATTCGTGCAAGCTGAAAATTTCAACGCCCCCCCCCCCCCCCCCCCCCCCCCCCCTCCCCCCCCCCCCCACCCCCCCCCCCTCGCACCCTTCCGTGTTTTTTGTTTACTTTATACACTTAAACACCTAAAACTAGCAACAGACAAAATAGAAAACCGACGGGCCTATCAGTCTAGTAAACAAAACTTCAACTGACAAAAAAAACAAACAATTGTCAGAAAAAAAAAAATTGCGTCAGAGGGGTTGACCATAAAAAAAAATACCTGCACAAGCAAGGGTCGAAAAAAAAAATTCGTGGAATCTGAAAATTCCCCCCCCCCCCCCCCCCCACATCACTTTTATAATGGTCCGTCCCTTATTTGATGGTTGGATTATTTATTCTAAACACTAAACAGTTAAACGTTGGCACGACCCCCTAATGAGGCGTGAGGCTATTTTACCGCCGTGGTCGAACTGCTGCCGGAATTGCTCTACTCACTTCGACAAGCTCCAACATCATTGAGTTTCGATTAGACAATTGCACGATTGACTTTTAATGAGTTGAAGAGCTTTTCGGCTTCATAAAAGAGTTAGCTTTTTGATTATTATTACTAGTGTTCGTATGATACTGGCCACGTACTGCACGTACGAGACTGAAGCACGATACCTTTGTTTCCACAGATTAGACGTTAGGGTAACATTCAACGACGTAAAAGGGCCTCTTATATAACCTTTTTGGGATTGGTCTTTCAAGCAGAACTGCAATTTAAAGCAAGAATTTCGGGCTATTCGCACTAGCTTATTGCGTGAGCACACCGGGTTTTAAACTCCATTGTGTGCACGGTTTTGATTAAGCCTCGAATTTCGCGTATACAAATTATACAACACATTAATCTTACTTTATTATTCTCATTGTTACTTCCAAAAGAACGCTTTCACAAAACATGAATGCCGCTCTTTTTTAGCGGAAAAAAGCCTTTATGAGCCAGATCATTTAAACGAGTCAATGACTTGTGCTGAGCTGCTGGTCAACAACGAGTTGTTGCCGTCTGCTAAACATTTTGACCGAACAACAAAGGTAAGCAGTTCCTCCCCTGAAAACGTAATGTGAATAGAAGAGCTACAGTCTCAGTCAAAATCAGTGTCTTCTTGCACTCCCAATATTGGTGCACAAGATTTGGCGAGTTGATTGCGATAAACACTATTGGGAAGACGAGGAGACAGGCCAGAAGTAAAACTAAACCAAAAGACAGCGTTGGGTGGAAGTGTCCCAACTATATTTTTGTATGAGTCTGTAGCTAGGAATTGCAGGACATTGGTGTCCTTTAGATGGGTGCCATGGAAAGCTTTATAATCCAGTAGGCTCCACTCCGTAAAATGACAAAAAAACGACGACATGCTACAACCAGTTGCAAAAAAACTTAAGACACTGTGTTAAATGGCCTGCCCATGCCATGATCTTGTGTTTGTGACCCCCCTCCTCCCCTTATTAAAGTTGCCAGAAATACAAGACCATAAAGCTCAAAACTAGGTGGAACAACTTTAAATGGAGGGGAGGAGGAGGTGAGTGTTATAGCTAACAGATTTCTGACTAGCAGTGATTTGAAGTAAGACCAAGTAAGAATGCCCAGTTTTCTTTGTCGGAGTGCCTCAACATTTTTGCAATGGGTAGTAGCTTGCATGTTAGGTGCGTTGTGCCTAGTAGCCACTGGGAACTAAATGAAATGAAACACAAGAATAGCTGGAAGATGAGCAGCACTCTAAACGCCTGAACGCCTTACGGACCAGGTTGGGCTAATGTGAAATTAAACGTTGAATGTTTCGTCACATAGTTCAGTAGACCCACTATACGGGTGGTTAAGACCTATTCAGTACACCCTGCAGACCATGCGCCAATTAACCGTCGCTGGTTGCGCTTTAATTTGAACTTGTCAAAATCCATTTCAAGTTCCTGAAAAGTCTGAGTGCATAATTAATTACCTAGTGTATCACTGTATATTTCGATAATCTTAAGAGAGATTATGTTGAGAGCCAGAGCTTTTGTATTTAAAGATTAGCTAAGACGAGGGATTTTAAATTTAAATTTATGATAATTATACAAGAATTTATTAACATGCACTCTTCAAACTGAATAATAATAACGGCAAATTACATCCAGTAGAGAGGAAACATACAAAAGCGCCTACGCACCATACTTGGAGGGGACGTTCGCAATCTGAAGTTCCTTTGTAAATGCTGTCATCCGGGAGCCTTTTACAGACTTGGCTTTGAATGAATAAAAAAGACCAAAACCGCTTTAGATTTTCCTTTAGCTGGTCAGACAGGGATTTCAGGTAGTCTTCATACTCAGACCTTATAAACTTCCACTGGATTGACTTTCTCAATTCTCTAAACTTAAGACCAAGGTATTCTGATGGATTAGCCTTTAATTTCTGCAACATTCTTTTCTTCTTTTTAATGTTGGGGTTTTCTTGTTAATCCAAGGAGGATCCATTCGTTTCTTGATTTTGAATGTTGGGATACGCATGTCAGCAGCAGCAAGCAGTAAATCATTAAAACTCTAACGGTGCAGATGTCAACATCCTCAATTCCATGGTACAATTCCATGGTACATGTCTTAATAATTCGTTGAGCTCAAAGAAATCTGCCTTCTTAAAGTTGTACACACGACGTGGAACAGACTTATGGGAGCGACCGGATCAAGCTTTTATCTCAAATGCGACAGGGATGGAACAGAATCATAATGAGCAGACAGAGCCTCGATATCACTGATCAGCTAGGGAGTTTT